GGGTAGTCAAGTGAAGCATTTGGGAGAGTGACAGGCATCATTGTGCTACTATGGAAGTTGTGAATAAGAAGCAATGGTAGAATTTGCTAGCATATTATCTTCACTTACCTCTTTATATATTTACTCTATATTGTGATATATAAGGAGGAATCCACTATTCCAAAAGGCTAAAACAGACCTGAGAAATCTTACAATTGGAAAGACATGGCTACTGTTATAGGCGGGAAATCTATATCAATTTTTTTTGTAAGTTTCAGGAATTAGAGTCATTCATAGACCACTTGACGGATATATCACAAATAACCATAAAAAATACAACCCTGCCAAGGAATCCATTCCACTGACTTTTTCTCTAGCCCACTGATTCGGTCGCTGCTAGAGTTTACTATGGACATTTTGGGGCCGCCCGCTCCGCTGCGTTTCAGCGCACGGATATGGTGCATTTCGATCTTACTCTCCAATTCCGTTCAATTTTTGTTGTAAATTTTGGAGCATCCAGATACCATGACAGCCTATATTTTCTTAGGTAAATTTTTGGTCACTTGTAATTTTTTACTTTTATTTGCTTTAAGTTCGCAAATTTTTGGATTGATCTTTGTCGACGCGCGGCATTTTCTGCAGTTGCTTGAGCAGCATAATTGGTTGAGCGACGAGATCCCTTAAACCCCACTGAACCTGAGGAGGACCAAGTTTTTGTATTTCCGTTATAATCTGTTAAAGTAATAATTGTATTACCAAAAGTTGATTGAATTTAATTTAGTTTTAATTATCTCTTGGAATAAAATTGGGTCTTGCTTTAGGTTTTTTTCTAAAATTTCCCGTGGAATAAGTATATAGATTGTGGTTAGTGTTCCCTCCATGATGTTTTGGATTGAGTGTAAGAGTTTAATGTTCCCTTAACATGAGTCAAGGGGGAGATTGTTGAAATTAACTCGTGTTACGGAGTAACCTCAATCCTAGCTATATTTGGCAAGAAAGTATCGCCAAGTCGCTAGGACTAGGGGTACTTAACCCTAGTGAATTCAAAATGTAAGTAGACCTTTTGACATTAATCAATGTACTCTCTTGCGTGTTCCAGCCATGGATGTAGCCTTGCACCTGGATGAACCACAATACACCGCGTCTTCTTGTGTTTGTCATTTCGGGTTTACTATCTATCTGACTGTGAACTAGTTATGATTTCTTGCTTGTATATACTAACAAGAATGATATTTTTTCCATCAAAACTGCACTATTTGATATTGAGTTGAAACTAAAATAAACTATATAAAATATAAACACATATAAAATATAAACAATCAAAATCAATAATTAGTTTATCCATTCATCCCAGAAATGAAATGCAACCTGCGCCTATAATTGACATCATATAGCATAGTCATCATTAGCATGTCATACTCATCTTTTTCATCAAATTAGTTCTTCAGATAGGTCACATTATGATAGTCATCCGCGTACAATACATTTGGACCTACTATTGTGTATGCTTTATAAATACTGTATGAGATAGACCCGGGGATGGTGATAGTAGATGAGTGCATGGTATCGTGGTTCCATTTCGAAACCCAGCAGGCAGTAAACAACGCGAGGAGAGCGAACCGAGAACCGTGAGTGCGACCGGGGTGGGGCTGGGTTCGGACCCTGCCCGGAGCAGAAGGAAGCAAGCAAGCAAGCAGACAGAGGAGGAGGAGGGGCGATGGAGCATGACCTGCTGAATGAGATCTGAGACTCTGACCTTGGTAAAGATTTTCTCGAGATATCGATCTGTTGATGACGCGCGGCTCTGCCCTGCTCTGACCCGAGACCTGACCTGGACGGGCGGGCAGGTCATTATTGAACTGCTTCTTGACCAAGGTTTGAACCTAAAGTAGGTACTGTCGTTCCCTCCCTCCCTCCCAGCCTGCCTGCCTGCCTGCCCCCCTCACCAGCTCGCTCCTCCGAAGCACAGTCCTGCACAGCGACAGCACAGGAGGAGGACGACATGTCTCGGTCTCGGTCGTCGGAGACTCGCTCGCTAACTCACTCACTCACTGAGTCAGAGCTGCGGTGACCTGAGGAGGCCCTGCTCTTGTTTTACATGGCTTCTCAGCCCTTGTCTGCACCCTGGGTTGAGCACCTCTGGTTGGTCCGTCTGACATTTGGTTCCGTTTATCCGGGTACAGGGTCGATCTGAGTCCACTCGACCATGGTCCCAGAGACAGAGAGAGAGAACAATGCGAGTTCCCAACAGAGCAGAGCAGAGAGAGGACCTTTTGCTTTTCGAATGCGCGGGTGGGAGCGAGGAGGACTGTTCCAGCTCGACTTTGTATCGGGATTTCATTGCACTGCTGAATGATATCCATTTCGTGCATGTTTGAATCTCCTTCCCCGAGGCGATGGGCTGCTACAAGAGAACAATCCTGACTGCGCGCGCGCTCGTCACTGTGCGCAACTTGTATGCCTCGATTGGGCGAGGAGGTCATGCTCGTTTCGACTCAAGTTGACCATAGAATGGGCTGGTGAACGAGACTAGACATAGTGACGCACGATGTGAGCTGAGAACTGTTGAGTACCTGAGATAAAGTTTGCTCGCATAAGTTGACATTGATCCTATGTAGGCCCCCACATAATTTAATGCCTTGGAGAAAATCGGAGCGAGTGCCTCAGGAGCTCAGTGCTGACACTAGCCTAAACCTCCAAGCAACTCGAAGCTCCTTGAGGTTTGAACAAAAGTGGACTGAGCAGCACCCCAGGACACAGTTGACGCTTCGACACGACTGTCTATCAGGCCTGTTGTAGTGCATGTCGAGGGTGATTTGGTTAACAGCTTCGGAAACGGGAAAAGTCAAGCTACAAAAATGGTGACAACCCTGCATGCGTAGATAGTTTAGTTTAACCGAAAGGTCTGGCTGGAGTTCTGCTACATCAGGAGCCAGGAACGTCAGAATGAGTCTGAATTGGGACAAAGCTCATTTGTACATACAAATGGATCTCTCGATCAGAGCTCATGGCCAAAGACGAAACGAAAGTCGATGAGGCGTGATAATACTCACTGCTCAGCACTTGATTATGCGCTTGGATCGGCTGACGGGCGACGAAATCAAAATGCGTGCGACGAGGTCATCCTGCAATCGTTCACTGGTACCGTCTTCATAATTTTTCGACAGAGTCGGCTAAAACTAAGAATTCGGGAAACTAAAACATTGGGAACTTTGACCCCGCCACTGGCTGTTCCAGATCCCGTTGCTATGGCCCCGTGCAGCGCAAAAGTCATACTGCGAGCGCCCTCGACTTGTAACATGTGACTTGCTTGTGCATGGAGTTCTGGTCAAGAGGGACCAACTGACTCATATCTAGGAGATACGCTAGATGTACGTGGAGCATGTCTCAGGCTTGTACAGATCCACACGAATGCCAGCTACTCGGGCTTTGGTAACCGCCATGCACGTCTCTGAACGTCGCCCCTGGAACATCGAGAGTCCGCTGAACACACATGTCGTCACTTCTACCAGCCACAAACCGGCAGACCGCCCGGATATAAAGCAGGCTCTCATGCACCAACACATCCATAGAATACCATGCCCAAGTTTCACAGCCGAGCTGAGGAGGTACGATTAGATCGACCTTCAAGCGTGGAAAGACCATGCAACAAGGACTTCCTCCTTTATTTGATCTCCTGGGCCGCTTACCAGAAGTTACCGAGCCCTCAGGAAGTATAAGCTTCTACAGAAGAAAATAATAGGCATGAAATTATCCTCGTCTTCTGGCAAGAGAGGAAATCGTTTTTCCTGTGCAGATACAAGAAGAGAACACAAGGAAGGGAAGGGAAGGGAAGGGAAGGGTACCAAGGGATCGAGATAAAACTAGATGCTGGAACAGAGGAGGAATTAAGAGAAACGCGCATGGGGTGAGATGCAAAGGCGAGTGGTACGTCGCCAAGAATCTCGTCCGGGAGTGACGGAGAACTACATCGGATTGCACCGTACTGCGTACACTCCATTATGATGGTTTCCTGTTGCGAGGCCAGGCCCCATGTTACTCCTTTGGATTCATCCATGTACACCTCGATGGGGCTGCCCATGCTTTTCGTTAATATACTCCGAATCGCAGGCTACTGCAGGCACTCCATGCGCACATCGCCTTCAATTCGATTCAATCCAATTCCGGTTCGATTACAGTGGGGAATTTGCAAGGTCTCGCATCTTGTTTATACATGTACAAGGTTCCAGATACGTGCAAGTACTCGGGGTATAGTTCTCACCAACCGACCTTGCATGCATACAGGCTCCCCCGTCTGTGGATGGCTGCAACTAAACTAACGTGGCTCGAGAGGCGCTGCGAGTTGACGGTCAGTGCGACTCAGGACACGGCGATCGACAGTCTACCAGAACCGAACGACATCGTCGTCATCGTAGCCTTTGACATCCAGCTGGCCTGAAAGCGTGAAAGTGGACCTTCCGAAGACCTTCCTTCGTGAGGGGCAGCTCGTGAACCCTGCAGAGACTCAGACTTTCCCCTTCCAGCAGAGGAAGTTTCCCCAACACTGTCCTGCCTGCAGTAACAAAAGTTTGAACGGATTTCACGTCGAATGTCCATAGCCACGCCTGTACTGTACAGTATAGCAGAGTCGGGACACTTCCGAAGCCTTCGTACAGATTAGTGGTTGTCGCTCGAAAGTGGTACGACCGTCCGCCATGTCCTGTGAGCACGAGTCCGCGGTTCTGCGGAAGAGGAAGAGGAGGAGAACCGTCCGAACAAACGGCCCGACCGGAGGACTTGCAAATGCGGCACAAGACCGTGCCTCGACTCCGACGATTCGATTCGGTGACATCGAAAGCTTAGACGACAATCAGTTCAGGCACGAAAAACAATGTGCCCGATCGAATCAGATCAGCTCCGCATTTCGTGTGTACTGACGAAGACGATGGCTTCGCAGAGAGAGAGAACTGAACAGGCCGAGATTTCGCAGACAGAAGAGAAGGGGACGCAGACGCAGAGGGCACGGAGAGAGGCGCGCAGTTGGAGAGGCTCGAATGCGATTCAGATTTAGATACAAAATTTGAATTCTATTACACAGGGCATTCATGCACGCGGTTTAAGTGTCTCACAAGCTAAGCTGGGCTAAGCTACGAGTTGGGTGAAAATTTTCATCTACAGTAAGCGGGCCTGGCACAGAGAGGGCAATAATCTACGAAGGAATGAATGGCTGGCGGACAAATCGCGATCTCGGTCGCTAGCTAGCTGCTCCTACTCTTGGTATACTCTAAACCCTTCACTAATGTTTAATGACGAGCGAACGCAATTTCGCGGAACGTAATGCAACGTGGCAGACGAGACGAGGAATCTTCTTCACAACAATCTCTCGTAAATACTGGCTCTAGAAGTTGCGGAGTCGTTGAGGTCGGTCAGGTCAGGTCGGGTCGGGTCGGGTTGAGTCGGGTCAGGTCAGAGGGTCGGGTCGAGTCGTGTCGTCGAGGCTCGCGTGGCTAGGCTGCGTCGACGGGGCTCGTCGCTCGCGTCAGGAGCAGCACAGGTTGGCGAACATGGATCCTGGCACCTTGCCCGTCCGCCTGATGTACTCCGCCCTCTGGGCGGTCTTCGAGGCTTGCTCTCCGCGCCGAGCTGACGCGGCAGCCCGCAACTCCTCGGCGTGCCGCCGGGTGGCCGCCACCTTGTTCATCAGCTTCTCGTTTGCATGCGAGCGCATCCGCTCGATCTTCATCTGCACATGACAGCACGGCAAAGCCCCTCCATGTCAGCCCGAGCCGATTCGAAGTGGACCTCCTAATCCCCTGACTAATCACCCTCACCTCCGCGCACGTTCACACCTCCGTGTTAGTGCGCGGCCGTGCGACGAGGAGGAGATCCTGCTTAACGACCTCCCCGTGTATTACCGCGTGCGTTAATCTAACCCAACCCCTCTTCCTCGGGCCGAGTCCGGCTGTCGGAACGCTAACCATTTTGCAAGAGACTCCGTCCACGGCGTCGACGGAGCGCCGTCTTGGGACACGGAGCAGCTGCTAGTTGCTAGCGCCTTTCGGACCCTGAGAACCTGGTGATGGTGCTGGACCCCAGGGGAGGGCAGGGCAGGGCATTGGCTCTGGCGAGGAAATGAGTGAGGAAAGGCTGCCGCGACGCAGATTTGAGCTCGGCCTCGCATCGGCAGATCGCATCGTGTGTCGAGCGGATAGTGGAGCCGAGACACAACAGTGAGAGCTCGCATATGGCTCCCACGATCACGGCTCCAGACAGTGTCAGGAGGCGCACACGCGCGATCCATGTGCGGCAGTCTGCCAGCCTGAGTAAGATAGCGGGCCCGCCGTGGTGGTGGTGCGACGCATGCTAGGCCCGAGCCGAGCCGAGCCAAGGTAGTTAGTAGATAGCAGTCGGCCCCTCCCGAACATCACAGCGACACCCAGCTCGCTCCGTCGAGCTAAAATATGTTGGCTCGCGCGCAGGGCCTAATCCGGACTTTCCCTCTCCAGGGAGGGCCCTACCGCGATGGCCAAATCGCACTCGAGTGCAGCAGCAGCACCCATGACACCAGCCGTCAACTACTCCAGCAGCACATCGGTAAAAATGGCCCCGGGGGCTTCTCACAAGGTTAACGCAAAAGCGTGTGCAAGATCGGGGCAGGGCAGGAGGCGGAGGCTTCTTAAATTTCGGAGGCTCTCGAGAGGGACTTGGGAGCCAAGCGTTACTCGGCCAATTCTATGATTTGGCCGAGGTCGGGTCAGCTTGCCGGCGTTCTACATAATGGGAACGTTACTTTTCAGTCGCGCTGTCGGGCTGGTCCTGAGGCAGTCGAAAGCTTGATTGAGTAGCGAGGTCATGATGAGGCCTCGGTGCCTCTGGCAAGAAAGTATCACTCGAGCGCAATGTAGGCATCCACTTTCCATGAACTAGTCATGACATGTGATGATTGTGCACATTAGAGTCCAGTTGTAGACTCGTCAGCTAAAGGAGTCAACTTTAAAGTGAGAAGTGCGATGTCTCATCCCCTCCCAACATTCACAGGCCGCAGGCTGAGGGCCGGGGGCCGGGGGCCGGGCCGCTATCTGGCCCCAGAGATTCAGAGCAAAGCGCGTCGTAGCAAGCTTCGCATGTCACGAAGTGGTTCGGGTCAGCGTCATCCCGCTAGCTGTAAAAGCTCGGCCTGGATGAGGATGCCTTTCCCGCTTTCGTGTCTGTTTCGAAAAACGCAAGGGACCAAATAATGGAGGGGCCAAAGGGGCAGAACATTCACCTCTATTCTTCGCATTTCCGCTTCAGCCTTCGCTTTCTCGTGATTCTCCCAAGCTTGGATTTTGGCCTCTTCTCGCTTGTATCTGTCATGGACATTACCAGCCAATGAATATGTCAGCCTCATCCCCTCCCTCGAATCGGGCCGTTCCAGAAATTCCGAGTTTCCTGCTATCTTCAATTCGGCCCGCAATCAGCTCAAAAGAGCCTGCAAGGATATTTCCCGAATCGTCATAATTGTTAATTGTTATTCATCACACAGAATCGCTGCGCCTGAAAAGTGGCAACAGAAGCCAACCGAACGTCATCGACCGCGAGTACGGATCTCGTAACTGCAGTGCGGTCGACGAGCATCCGGGATCCGGAAATTCTTCGATTCACTGAGGACCGAGGACCAGACTCGGGGCCGGGGGCGATCGAGCAAATACCTGGCGACGTATTTGGCCTGCTCCGCCTCTTCCCAGGCGGCCGCTCGGGTGGCAATTACGTTTTTCCGTACTTCTTCTAGATCCACACTACTCTTCAAGCTCTTGAAAGCGTCCTCCTCCTCCTCCTCCTTGGTGGCCCACGCGGCGATATTGTGCTTGCCCAATTGAGTCCCCAGAGCCAAAATCTCTTGACGGGTTTTCGACTGCAGCTCCTTGTCCGTGTAGTACACCTTCCTCTCCTTCTCGCCGTCCTTGCCCTCGCAGCTCGGTGACGATGTCGGCACCACCCGGCTCGGCGTGGCCGGACGCGAGGACGACGGGCTCCGCATTGTGGGAGTTCTCGCCGACACTGGCGTCGGAGCCCTGGACGGTTCCACGCTCGCAATTGGAGTCATTTCCGTGCCCATGTCCCTCATGCAAACCTTCGGAGACGGTTCGCTCACGGGCAGCGGTTGCTCCGGCTTCGCAATTTCCACCTTCGGGGGCGACTCTTCTGCGATGAGTAGAGAAGACGGAATGGGTCATTAAACTGCCCTGGAGCAAAATCGTGGGGAATGTTCGAGAAAAATTAAGGAGCTCAAACCACTGCCGCAGGGAATCTCTCGAGCACAAGCAACGGAGTGGTTCGATGTACATCGAAAGCAACAACAACAAAAACTCGACGAGCGTGCATGCACGCAAGAATAAATATCTATAAGTATGAACACCGAGCTGAAATCGAAATTGAATGCTCCGTTACTTTGTCAGACCTTTGGGTGGCGAATCGGACGTGGGCTTCTCTGTCCGAAGAGCCGGGTCCAGATCCAAAAGCGGAGCATCGGGCGAGGTGCTTCCTTCCTTGGCGTCGCCGCTGTCTCTGCCGAACAAATCCTCTAAGGGATATCGGTCGAGGGAGCTCGCATTGGCTCGTCCTTTGCCCACTGGTATGCCGGTGGCAGGCAGGAAGTCGAACCTGTTGTTGCCCGCGTCTTCCTGACCGCTGATGAATTTCATGGTGTCCATTTTCTTCGTGCGCTCGTGCTTCGACCGGTCGGACATTAGCTCTTCCCCGTCGTTGTGGCCGCCGACGTCCCCTGAAGACGAGGCGTCCGAGCTGGACGTGCCCGCATTGGAGACAGTGGCGACTCTGGCGAGCTGCGAAATGTTGGGTATCAGGCGGCCGGCCTGATTCAAGAAGGCTGCTTTCTTCGAAAGCGCTAATTCTGTCTGCGCCAGGGGATTCGATTGCGGGCCGCTCTTGGCCTTGGCCTTGGCGGGGGGCTCGCTCGACAGCCATTTCTCGGCGTCGTCCCATTTGGAGGGGGCAGGCTTTTGGAAGGAGCTCAAGACGGTCCTGTGCACACCTTTCATGTCGCCCCTGTTGAAGTCGAAACTAGAATTGCTAACACTATCGTAATTACTGTCATAGTCTAGGAAATCCGCATCGGCGACCCGCACGACGTGTGTCTGGTTGAAGGAAAAGGCGCCAGTGCCTCCGTGAGAGAAACTGTTATTCTGTACACTAGTTTTGCCGGAGGGATTCATACCATTCCTTCTCTTGATCTCCTCGATCTTCTCGCCGACCTGGTTTTGTTGCTTGAACGGAATCATCTGTCCGTCCTTCGACATGGAAGCCTTCATCAAACTCTCGAGAATGGGGTCCAAGGGCGAATTCTTCGCGGCTGCTCCCTGCTGGTGCGCTGCTTCGAGCTCCGAAGTCCACCCATTCTCCTTCATGCCCAGAAGTTCTCGGGAGCCGCTCAAGCTTTGCGCACCTGAGAGTAGAAAGTCAAAACGTCGGGAATTAATGCGGCGTACGTTGCTCGCTCAACTCGAGTGCGACATAGCGCTAGCAGTAGTAGACGTCGTACTGTTCTGTACTGAAGCCTGCGACTCTACCAAAGCAGTTTTCTACCAAAGCACCTCTCGTCGCGCACACACGCTTACACTCCCAACAAACGCCATTCTCTCCATGACACGGACGCGACTAAAGCGCCACACCCTGCGACGAAAGTGAAATTTTCTTACCCCTGGCCTTCATACTTTTCATAGGGGGGCCACCTCCTAAGCTAGTGGTGTCAATCAGGGGCCCGTCGGACGAGGTTGGGTTCGGTTTGGCGATGGTGCTAGGTTTGCCGTTTAGGTGCATCGGCTCCCTCTCCAGAGCTTCCAGGAGTCCGGCTTTGGACTGAAAGGACGGACTGTCGAGGCCTGGGACGGCGGAGGTCGATATGCTCCTGGTGTGCATCCCCGTCACCTGGTAAATTTTCTGCCCGAGCTCCCCGTTTGCTGAAAACAAGGCACACCGGCAGTCTTAGAAAAGTGCGTTTCTCTCATGAGTGACATGTATAGAGAGGCGAGCAAGACATTCCCCCGGCCCCTCACCTATGCTCGCTAATGCTCTCGCTAAAGCTAGGCGAGGCAAGGCAAGGCAAGGCAGGGCAGGGCAGGGCATGGCTCGTCGTCCACGCCACATGTACTGTGCGTGTATTGAGCACGGAACATTCGGCCTCAAAATCACTACTGGGCTGCGAATGACGTCAATCATCGATCTACTCTTGACGATTGGCCGGACTGATGTTGGTTACCTTTGGCGTTTTTCGGTCTGAGAAGGTTGTCCAAATTGCCCCCGTGAGGCCCATCCAATGATCGAAACCCGGACGGCGCGATATTCTGTAACTCACAAGACAAGAACCATAACGCCCGGGATCAAGGTCTCGCTCAAACAGATTCGCAAGGCGGATGATGCGCTACGTGCACTGTGATGATATGATTCGCACAACAGATGATTGATTCCGAGCGGGCGGAACCGGGCACATGCTTCTTCCAAATCCAGAGGAAGCTTCTGAGCTACTCAGTGCGCGAAATGGTTCATCATGACGTACCTTTTGTCCATTCAATGGACCGAAAAAAGCTTCGTCGTCGGCGTCGGAAGGAGAAGAGCTTCGGTTGTGCGTAATCAACTGCTTGACATCGGAATAATCGTCCATTTCACTCACCGCCTTCGATCCTGCTGGGCTCGTGGAGGTACTGCTCTCTAAGATGCAATTGCTTATCACACACCTAGGGCTCGAGTGGCTGTCATCTGTCATTCCGAGTTCAGCCGACGACATGTTACAGCCAGCCTCGTCACGCCGTCACACGAAATTTGAACGACACGTGACGAAACTGCAATTTTCGTCATCTGGAACTGACGGCATTCCGGTCGAGAGCCAGACCGCAGGCAACGACGACATTGCAAGTTGCACTACAGCTCTCTTCATCATAATTCACAAGCTGGCGGAACAAATTACCTGAGACTTGATGGTCGTAGTGGCCTCCATCTACAATGAGTATATCGCGATCTTTACCGGATGTTAAGATGCCTTTACCAGCAGCTTGAATTGGAAACGCAACATTGCCAGCGAGCTTCTCTCTCTTCAGGTGTTGACTGTAAGTGCCCGGCTTGGGGTATCGCAAGCTGCCCGTGTTTGGATCATAAATTAGTCCCACAGAAGCCGATGTCTGGTGATGTGCCCTCTGCTTGGGAGGAGAATAATGCGAATCTCGTGCAGACTTAAAACCAAATTTCTCCTGGGATATCATAGGAGATGAGAGGCTCTTCCGCTGAGCTGATCCCCTTCCCACCTTTTATCATGAGCTCTTACTCCACCGGATCCAGAAACTCAATTGAACGCTACGTACACATGTGTCACTCTCTCCTTCTCCCTCTCTCTCCCTCTCTCGCTCACTCTGCCTCTGCAACAAGTTCCACCCGCTTCCTCTTCGGGGCCTGTTATTGACGACGGCGATGGTCGTGCGGCTCAGCTGAGAGTAGCACCAAGCTGTCAGTCAGCTGGCCTGCCTTCGACTCCCGGACGCAGAACACGAAAACCAACGGGAGTTGCAATGCCAACGACTGACACACGCCCTCGATTCGCGATTTCGACCTTCACATCCTCGAGCGCCTATCGCTTCGCAATGCACACGGACCTCGACGAGGAGGAGGACCAGTTGCTACTTTATGCTCTACCAACCACGTTTATCGAGTGCAGAAAGCGAGGCCAATGACGGAAGACTGCGAGCTTCGTAGAGCAAACTCGAAGGACGAGGGTACGCGCGCGCGCTCCGCGGAAAAAGTCCTAGGCCGAGGACAGAGAGCTTGCAATCTCTTTCTGAGACAAGCGCAGGCACTCGAGTTTCGCTTTCGCTCTGAGCTCCTCGCTGCGCGACTCAAAATGAATGTCCCCCAGAGCCTCCGCTCGTTCTGATGAGTCGATCCGATGGACTGCCAGAGGGCTTACGGCTTGTAAAGGCGAAAGACAGCAGGCATGGTCTAATGAGTACTCTTCCCCTTTGATCTTCTTATCTCCCCTCCCCTCTCCCACTTCACGCCCCGCGGCCAAAGTTACTCGCCTCCCATCTTTACCGCCCCACACCCTCGATTTGCCTTCCTCCTCTTCCTCCGCTCCCCCTCCCGAGTCCCGTCAGCCCCATCTCATCCTCCCCCGCACTTTACCCACGGTCCTCTCTCTCCCTCTCTCTCTTGCCCTCCTCACTTCATGCTCGTCGTCGCCAGCGTCGTCGTTGGTGCGTGCGTTTCGTCTGTCTTGTCGTGTCTCTCCTCGGCCTCGCGCTGTGCAGCTGCTGCTGCTGCTACGTACGAGTCGCGGCTCGACTCGCGTCTAGATCTGCCCAGCGGCTCGAAATTGCTCGCCCCTTGCAGTCGAGAATGCGCACCGGGACAGCAGCAGGCGGGTGCATCTGCCTGCTTTTACATCCTTGCGCTTGCTTCTTCCGGCGATGCGGGATGTCTATTCCTCCGGGGGGGGGGGGGGGGGGGCGGGCGGGCGGGCGGGCCTGTGCCTGCCTGCCTGCCTGCCTAGTCTATTCCCCGGGCGAGCAGCCGCAGCAAGCAGCAACCACCACCACCACCACCTCCTCCTCCTCCTCTTCCTCCACAACAGTCGATCAGTCCAGTCCTGCCTGGCACGGAAGTCCTCTCCTTTGCGCAACATCGCCTCCCGCTGCACAGCGCCATGAACTAGCTAACCTCCTGCCACGTGGCTGACCCCCCCGCCCTGACTCGCCCCCCTGTCGCGTCCGAACGCCCACCCGCGCCCTGGCCCCATGATTCCCATCACATCCGATTACGCTCTAATCCGCTCTTAATCCCCCTCCCCCGCCCCTCTCCCCATTCCGTGACGTGCTTGGCATCTTCTGACGTGCTCGGCATCTCCTGCTCACTGCCCGATCGCAGTGTTGACGTCTCACGATTAGGTGCCAGGAAGGATTATTGTCACTTTCACCCTCGTAATTACGCCTTGCCCTCTCTCGCCCCCTCGCCCCGGTGCGCTTCATTATGGTTAACGAGCCTAGTGAGCCTGGGCCCCGTCATTGCCGGCAACTCGTGGACTCCTCCTCGCTTTCTTGCCCTCCTCCGTAACGTACCGTCGCGTATACAGGAAGGTGCGTACGAGCCGAGTCTACGTTTCCTCGCTGAGCCAGCCTGCCCGCTGCGAGACCTGCCCGGCCGCCGCCGTCGCCGTTCGCCCGACCATTTGACCATCGGCTCCCCATCTTTGACTTTTGTACAGTGCCCTATTTCTTAACAAGTGGGTTCTGAGGCTAATCCGGGATTACGGATGGGGCCTCGCCCGGCCCTCTGCTAGGGAGTGATACGGTTGTGTACGACCCGTAGAAGATGGAATTTTCCTGCTCTGCCCGATTGCTGCGGGTTCGAAAATTTCGGGGCCTGCCCTATGGGACAGGAGCAGTCCCGGTCGGCCACAGAATCGCAGGGCTGAGCGGGCAGGTGGTCCCGCCTGACCGCACTGCCCCGTTGATGATGATGACCTGCCTATGCCTTGCCCATATTTTCCTGTATGTCACCATCATTCTGTAATTTGGAATATTCAAACTTCTGAACGCTTGCAGCATTTCAAGGCTGGACTCCACATCCGCGTCCGCGGCCCCTGCTCTGTCCGAGGCGCCTACCAGGTCGCCGTCGTACGTGGTGGGCGTGTCGACTGCGCCTACTGCGATTCGATGGCACCCCTTCGGCCCCATTCATTTGCATGCAGCCTGCCAGACATGTCGAGATGAAGCGCACCGCCAACGCCCGGGCTTCGAAATTTCTCGGGCTTCGGCAACCATTTCATAATTCATTCCGCGGTCATTTCCCAATATTCATTTCCCGTGCGCCGACTGCGGTAGTGGCTGCGAGGCCTTACGTTGTGCAACGCGCTGGGAGTAGCCTGGCTCGGTGCGCTTATCGAGCCTTTGCATTAATCTGAAACCTCCGAGAGACTGCCATCCCCTTGGAACCGGCACTCGCCGAGAGCTGAGAAGCCCCGAATCATCTGCAACGTCTAGAAGTGGAATTGCAGATTGCACGCCACGTCGAGACTACAAACAAAAATAGTTTTTCTGCCGAAGGGCACATACTTGCAATCCGAAAGTCGTCAGCAGGGACCCGCTTCGGGAGTAAGGGGTGAGCTTCACTTTGCCAAAATCTGCAACATTGCAACAGCGTGTCTCTTCTCCGGGAGTGGCACCGAACACAGGCTCGCTGTCCTGGACAGTAAATACATATCCGGGCTGTGGTTAGAGGCAGTCGACCGCATTCTCTTGTGGAGTTTAACAGAAGTCAACCGAATCTTTTTGACATGGAGGTCCTCGATTTCTCGACAAAGTACTCGTTCGTAATTTCGCTTTACAAAGAGATTCGTAGTTGCACATTCATCGAAAACCTCAATTGTGTATTCATATCTTTGACTGATATTATTCGAAGTCAAAGAGTATACATGACATGTATTGGCTCTCGAAAACCGGCCAGTTTCTTTTAGAATATGTCAGAGAGCTTTTACATGTAGATTCTTGAATTTGTACAGTTGTATTCTGGTTCGGAAAACATTTTACACATGACTCGCAGGTGATTATTATCTTGCTCGAGGGACAAAACGCGAATGAGTACAAGCGGCGAGTACTGTTATCGGGGAAAAACCTGTTAAGGCTTACAACAAACGATGATCATTAGCGCAAACGCTGGCTCATGATTAAGGCCAAGAGCTATCTTTATCACTTTTCGCACAAAGTGGGGACATAAATAGTTCTCTCAATGCCATGTGAAGAGGACTGTTCACCTGATAGATTAGATTAGACAGACAGCGAGAGATATGGAGAGAGAGGTAGATGGAGAGAGAAAGAGAGAGAGAAAGCGATTGATGATCATGAAGGTGGAGCAGGTGATGGGAATGGAGGGGGAGGGGAGGGCCTTTCAAAATCGCATGGCACTTGCCTTCATGTTACGCCCAACGAGACAACCACGATGGCAACCATGGCGGAGAAGCTTCTTTCTGACCCGCTGCTGCTGCCGATGAGTTGCCGATCACGAACTCGGGAGCCGGGACTGCGCCTTGGACTTGACTTCAAGGCACAGAACCAGTCACAGGGAGCCAGAGGTCAGATGCATATCTCCCGACTTCAAAGCGACAGAACGCACTTCCGGTCCGGTGCCGTAAATGCCCCTGACTGCACCGCCGACTCTCCGCCAGCAGGAGGCGAAGGCGAGCGCACCCGTGACCTGACACGCACCAGTCGTCTCCATCCAGAAGCAGGCCTCTTTCGCGGGCCCTTTTGTTTCGATCAAACCCCGGAAAGCTGAGACTGCGACTGTGGCGCCGTGGCCCCTATGTTCGAAGAGCCGCTGCTGCAAGCGTACACAGCAGATAATTTGAACCGGCCGTTCCGAAAGGCGCCGGAACCGCGGCAACGGCAACGTCCTCTTCCTGACTCGTCGCTCCCGTGGAAACTTGCAGTTCGGCTCGTGCGCTGTCTTGCTTTCCTCCGACCGTAGAATTCCGGTCCGGAGTGCCCTCGCATCTTCGCTGGCCATACGACGGTATTTACGGGCTCCGCCTGATACTCCTCCGCCGTTCATCGCATGCCCGTTCGATTGTCCGAGCTGGACCTCCGGACACTCCGACGAGAGCAAAGTTCTCGAGCGCAGAGTTATCTGCATCCCTGCCGACGAATGGCCATACCTCACTCTTTTTCTTTAAGGCTGTGGCCTTGAACGACGCTTTGAGCACTTCGCATGGACGTATCCTCACAGCCACGGCAAATGATAGTCGGTGTCTTCCTCACGAAGAGAAGAAAGAGTTCGAGCAAAGACGGGTTTACGTACGAGAAATGGGAAGATTTTTTTATTCCTCGAATGAAAAGCCTCTTCACCTTGGGGAACATTTCCCTCACGCGATCGGTGACCTACAACAGTTCATTTTGAAAGTCTTATCGTTCCAGGAAAAATAACATATTTATTAATCACTCATTAATACGTGTGCGTCCAAGTTTTGACCGGTTCCATCCACACGCAGGTCATTGCATCATCGAAGTAGTCTATTTATGGTGGATGATGTGATTCTTGAATAAGATAATCATTTAAACAAATTTCAAAAGCAAGGAAAACTCACTTCTTACTAAAAGGAGATGAATTCTCGTTGAACTGCTCAGAAAAAATTGATCATTATCATCATAAATTGGCTTCTAGCACAATATCATGCTTACGAATTGGCTTCCCGAAATTATGTTACAATATCAATAAACTTCTAGAAACTGAGACTTCTATTCTCTAGTCACTTCAGGTCTATAATTTCTCAAAAGAATGAGAGAATCTAACCCTTTCTATTGTATGTATGAAAAAATAATATTGATCTAGGAATTTTTCTAAAACATCACAATTGAAATTGTTGTGGTTTGTAGAAACTGAACTGAACCGGATTCCTCTACTTTTCAAATGAACTGAGTAAGGATAATTTAGTTCGTAAAAATGTGATGATATATACATTTATTTTATTTTATATATAAAGACTGGATCTACAAAAGTTTGAAGATTCTGACCAGAAGGAAATTTGAACTGAGATGATTGAATCCCGCTGTTGAATATAATGATGGATCATGTATTTTAAAATTAAAGAAGTCACACAGCATAAAACCTTCTACTTTTTTTTATTATATTTAAAGCGTCGTGTTAATGATGCATTGTAGAATGAATTCTTCTAATTTTAAATTCTATGTAATTGTTGCAGCATTATATGACATCTCAACTCATCATTAGATAGGATGACTTGCATAGGCTAGATGTAAGGTATTGGTATGAGATATTAGAAAAAGCTACATTCAAGAAATAGTATACGTAAATTGATGTATTATTTGACTTTACATACTAAGAAATTTTTCCTTTTTTGATAAAATTATGAGCTTATTTTAATGTATTCTTTTTACATAAACTGACATGAAGAGAACATTGAAAACTTAAAGATTCATTCACAGAATCAGGATCAAAAGAATCCATCAATTTTGAAATACTGTGACAGTTGATTTGAAAAATACTACATCTTGGTTTATGTGGGTTTCAATTCGTATTCCACTCGACATAATTCGAGTCATATACACATATGTGTGAATTGATGTTATGTCTAAATTAAATTATATTTAAGGATTTATTTTATTTCAGAAAAAGTTCAATTTTCCACTGACAAAACGATTTTTTAAATTTTGGAAAATTATAGAATAAAATATAGAAGGAAAAATAAATAACACAATGAAGGGTAAAACAACACCACACTTGTTAGAGTGGATTGATTAAAAACTAATTATCTTACTTGCAAATAGTTTAAATTGAACGATACAAACTCATTTTCATAGAAGAGGCGGGTGTTGCAAGAGTATTTTTTCCTTCTTCTTCTACTTTAATTTGTAGCTTTATTATTTAGAAGTGTTTATTCTTTATACGATGCACTCAGACTTGTCAATATTGCTATTATATCATTTATGTGACGTTCGGTGTTTTCCTTCAATTTTTACGGTGTATATAGACACACGTATATGAGAGGAAACACAGCAACACAATTTCAAGACCGAATGGACTTTCATCGAGTTGGAGGAATAGTAAGGCCAAAGCTCATAATGACAAGGCCTCGAGCAGCGCCGGTCTTTTTCAAACGACAACGTATCTTGGCTAGCACCAGCCACACCAGACAACATCCGGTCTGGTCAATGTGGACGTCGCCAAATGGAGAAGCGAGGGCTCTCTTGATGTTGGGACTTATCATTGCTACGGGGGTAGTACCAGCAGCACATGGACACGCTGCATCTCGGAGCGAGGGCTGCTTCTTTCGAGTCACTTCAAGGTTGCGCTTGTACCGACGAGAATCGAATCCATTGTTTGGGTTCGACACGTCTGTGAAAAATTCCAAAGCACGATCCATGAATCTCGCCAGTCCCAATCGATTCCTTTCAACTTCAAGGCGGATTGTGTTCCTCTCGCGTGGAAAGACGGACGGAACTCTGTGAAATTGAATGAACCATCTTGGGATGAAAAGGTGATGTATGCCATCCACGTACTTGTTCTCGAGAACGGAGTCTGTCTCTTGAATTTCTAGTAGAATGATTACATCGTCTCGTGCTTTCACGTGCTTTACGCAAGTGATCATGAGGGTGGTATAGTCGGCGACCCGGCATAGGAAACGAGTGCGCAAAGAAACAGAGACAGATGAGTCACAAGAACCTTATGTAGAGAGTTCAGTTCCTAATGAGTGATGTCGCCGAGAGAGCGAGCGGACGCTTGCCCATGTCAAAATCATCTCCGACACAATGCATGCGAATTATTAGTATGTTCGTGATGATGTTGTTTCTAGGTTATGCACTTGGGCATGACATAGTGTAATAAACTGGGGTTGGGTCGGTGTTTTCAAGCATTCGTTGAACGGTCTCCAGGCCTATCGTCAGTCCAGCACACCTCACGCGCGACTCCTGTCCGTCGATTCGACATCGCCGGGGACCTTCCGTTCCGCATAGATTATTATACCGTGCGTGTATGGCGTTCTGGTGGCAAGAACTAATAATATGTATAAAAATGAAATAAAACAAAAGACCGTTCTCGTCGCTTTCCTCAAGCTCTTTACCAATTCCGAAGGCCAAATGTTTCAAGCTACGAAGACATTGCTTTCTCAACATTGTGGTTGTGGGAAGAGTCAAGAATCAAGAAAGCATCCCACCCATGGCGCAACAAATAACGGGAGAGCGCAAATGATTTGGAAGCCACACCTTTTCAGGTCAATTAGTGCTCTACCATTCTGAATGAATTTGAAACTTGTTGACTTTTGGTCTCCCTCGTGGTTGTGAGAGCGAACAACGGGCTTACGAATGATCTCAAAGGAAGAGTCGATTCGCTGAGCCAGCCAGCCAGCGAGCCCGCCAGCCGGAGATTCTACGTGGAGTGGTCAAACATTCCTACTTATTGCTTTTCCGAAAAGCACCGTTTGTTCATTTCGCCGCAGACCGTCCAGTGCGTCCACTGATCCCGCAACAAAGGACGGATAAACTTCAAGCGCGAGTGGGAAGGAAGGAGAGACGAAGAGTCAAAGAAAAGAGATCCGCCTTGCGTCCCAACTTCAAATTTGGCATGTTGGCGAGCAAACAACAAACTCGATGGACGATATGATCGTGAAGGGCGGGGTTTAGGATTTATTGTACTCATCGGGTGACGCTACTAGAGGGTGAGGATTAAAGTTTATCCGTTCCACCGAAAATATTAAAGGCAAAGGATTCTCATGTTTCCATTAAAACCCTCTTTATCCGTACGGCATATCGTTGGCCGGACTGACATCAAGCGGGAAACATAAGGAGCTTGACCAGAACCCGGCCATGTTCTCTCTTGAACGTAAACTTTGACTACCCTCGCCGCTCGTTCGCTTGCCTTTCTGTCAACTTTGCGGCGACTGCGCAAGCGTTCCCCGCTGTAGAGCTTCATCGTCTTCACCCGTCGAGATTTATTTTATGGTATGGGTTTCTTCGAGTTGTTATCCTTTAGGCCGCCTAGAGCATGAGCTCCAGTTCCTTTCTTCTCTTCTCTTCTCTTCGATAGTCGGTCCGCCATCGTGGCCTCCTCATGATCTCTTGGGCTGTTTGGACTTGTGGTTTGCTTTTTGTACGCATTGTTACGAATGCATGCGGGGCACTGCTTGTTGGCTTCCGAGTGGTGTTGATTGTTTGTACTGGTGATACGGTGGTGTTTCAAATGAGTCAAACACAGTCTTTATGTGCACCTTTGATCTGATACCTCTCCGATGCGTCAATCTTATAAATTCCGTGACGTAGAAGTGGACCTCACGAAGAGTATTCCCACAATCTTGATGAGGAAACCGCGTTTAGCTCCTCTTGTTTCTCCCGTGACGCTCACAGCGTCATATCTATCGATGGGGTGTCCCCGTTCAAGAATGGAGACCATCACCTGAAGACTGTAGAACAAGAAGACAACTCGGCTCACAAGAATCCCCACCAAAAGCTCTAAACTCCATTACTTTTTGGGACGGCACAGCAAGCCCTCTCTTCTTAGAAAGAACGGTCGCTCCGCTTTCTCGATCCGGCTCGATCGATCGTCATGATCCACATCACACAGCGCCATCGATCAGTTGCGAGAACCACAGGAGACAAATGCTTCTTCGACAATTCACGTCCTCCAACATCATTGAAAGTGAGTGCAAAACTCATCGAACGTCTGAAGGCTTTAGGCAGAATAGGTCCAGATCCAAAAGCAAGGCTGTCACACATTCGACTCTGACGTCGACCACAGTTTGGCAGCTTCGCTCGAACGCCGAGCAACGGACTGCAGCGGCGTCGTCCATCACCTGAGGTAAAGATGGGGTTGCGGGGCTGCTCGAGGGCATACGAGGGAATACGTCCACTGGTTCATTCATCAGTGGACGTATCCGTATGAGAGGTGTTGGAGGTCGTGGGGGACGAGAAGCCATGTCTCGTAATCCAGAGGCAGGCTGAACTTTCCAAACTGGACCCAGATAAGGCGAGCACATCTTGGTCTTCACCATTTCCAACGCCAAGGGGGGACCGTGAGGAATGAACTAAACATAGGCGACCATTGTTGGTGGGGCCTCGGGAGCTCCCTCCCCGAAGTAGTAAGGGATGACGTCCATTTGCTTCTCTAGAATGGCAACCCTCTTGCACAGAATGCACGAGCCACGTTTTGTTGATTGGCTGTATGCAAGCAAGGGACTGTCTGTCTCGTACTCTAATAGTAAGAGCCTGTGTCTGTAAAGGAGGTTTTGTTTGTTGTCTTGTTTTTCCTTGTTCAGGGAGAAAATATCGTTTGATGGAATGTCATAAAAGCTCCATTGTCTCAACCGGAGACCATACCGGGAGTTCTGTGGATTTTTCTCGAACGGACGCTGTATGAATTTAATACCAATGATCCGAAGACTCCGAACCATACACAAGACAGCAGGCACATACGAGGAAATATTCCATCAAGTAAAAAAATGCAAAAAATTACTATCTTTATAAGCCCTCGATGTATAAATCTCCGAGAAATAGCAAAGTTGTCTGCTCTTAGCGACGGATTATCTTCATATCTTTTCCCCGACTGCGAGAATTTTTAGCGTACGTTGACTTCAACGCCTGGTCCTCGTCGGCATGTCGACAAATCCTTGCAAAAAAATGAGGGAGAGCGCTTCGAATCCGAGCTGTCTAGAACGTAGTATGAAGTCATCGAGCGAATAATCGATCAACTGCAGAAACCTTTGCAGACTTGCAGTTCTCTTTCAGCCATGTTCAACGTATCAATGAGAAGATGACACAGCATGTAGCGGCAAGGGTGCTGGGATCTGCAACTTGTGTTTCCAGATGTCAAAAACACCAAATGAGGATCACTGACGGCGAGGGAGGGCGTCATCGAGCCATATACCTCATTCTTCCATGAGCAATACGTATGTCGTCACTGGACAAAACTTGATTCCCTCGGAGTTAGTTGACCGATCACAGAGTATGATAGATGGTATGTTCTGGTGGAATGTCCAGGAACGCACAAGGCTACACTTAAATAATTGCAAAGTGCCACGAAAAGTTTCTCCCACCTAGAATGCAAACGAAAGTGTTCAGCCCCACCGATCCTCCCATTGTACTGTCACATGATGGCAAGCACACCCATGTGACAAATTGCCGATCTCGTTCCGGACCATGACCAAAGATGCCGAGAGTCATGGGCCAGGTTTATTATATGCAGGGCACGGGTGACAAGATTCAGCTTCTGCATCTGTCTCCGACATCGGAGCTATAATTAGATGAAAAGGCGACCAACAGCGGTCGCGATTTGCAACATGACGGGCCGAGCGCCGGGACATGCGAGCGCTCTCCGCGACCTTCGATGTCTGGTCTTTACCACTTGTGTTCCTCCCATTCGGATTTTCAAAGCACGAGTTATATATAGAGCCAATTAGTTTCCCTCGGTTTCCTTGTGCTTTTCTCGGCATTTCTTCATCCTGCGGCTTTTCGAACGTCGTCCTAAAACGCCTAATTTTGATGTGCATTTGGAAGGTTCTTCGGCAGACAGCGTTTCCACGAGAGGGTGGGTACCTGCTCCCGGAGAGAATCATCCATAGAACCCGCAAGATGCTGTCAAGACGAATTTGTCGAGGCATAAGACAAGGGAGGAGTGACAATTGGGATATTCACGGCACGAGCTATTCCAGGAGGCCCCAGAGGCAAGGTCGCGGGCGTATGAGAGAGCGGCAAGAGAGCTCCAGCCTTGACCGTATTGTCTCGAGCTCCCCAAATGTTGGGGATTCTTTGACTCGTGACTCACTCGTCGGGTGCGCGCAGCTTTTGGGCACATGGTCCTGCCTTCCTCACACTTCTCTCTTACAGCAAGGATACAAGAACGACAACAAAACCTAAAATTATCTCCAAACACGGGCGAGGTCCGGATTATTCACCAATAAGAACTCGAGGCTGGCACAGTTATTGCGGAAAAGAGGGTCCGCGACGAGATGGAGAGGATGGCAGGACATGTGGAGTCACATGACCACACTGACCGCCTCCTGCCTTCTTGCCACCTAAGCTCCGATTGTGGTCGTCCGCTCGACGTAATCGTGATATAAGACGAATCTTATTTCGGTGTGTGGCTTGTCTGGAAGGAACACTTTCATGCACATCTTCTCAATGATAGAAATGTACTTCTCTGCGGCAAACGAAATTACAGTGACCGATGCTTTGCTGATGCACGGGTCGAGTAACACAGCCAAGCATCCGAGTAACCGATGATTCTAGAGATGAGCGGAAATCCTGTGAAGCTCACAGCTTTGCTCCGGTGGTGAATTCTTCTGAACGCAGGGCGGGCAGGCCAGTACGCCTCATTGACTCCAACATTATGGTTTGCAAATTCCCTAGGATCGTACCACTCTGCTGCGGAATCTTCGCTTTTTCTGCGAAGTTTTCCCACTTTTATATCCAAGACTGTTCGCCGTTTCTAACAATTCATTTGTCGAGGGATTAACTATTTGTTGTAAGACGCACTTTATTCGTTCACAAAAGAACTAGACGCGAGAAAAGAACCGCAACAGTTGCTGCGGAATGTAGGATGCAAAGCCTTGTGCTACAGACTGCGGGTAAAGCGCAAACATCCTCACGACGGGCCGAGACAAGGATTCTTTAAGCTTCCCTGGCAAAGGCGAGATAAGGCCAATGCCGGCGTAGTTGTGATGTGTGCTCACGCGCATGTCTATCTTGAATGGACGATGAGTCTTAAATGTCCAATATAACTCTAGAATCTAAAATAATAACACGATCACACTTGATAAAAAAACGGATAAATCTATCAAATCCAAAACACGATTTGACAGTACGTAATTCAAAGAATGAACTCAAAACTCATCATACTCCATTAAACCAATCACCGCTTGCCTGCATCTTGTCATAACAAGCCTGCCTAGTAGAGTAGTTTGGATAACCGGATCAAATGAAAGTTAAGATAGAACATGCACCAATAATGAAATCAATAAACAAAGAGTAAAAAGGTGGAAACGTTATCGCAACACTAAGGTTACAGCGTTTCTCTCGTGCGTAAGATTGATTCTTGTAGAGTAGACACTCAATAAAAATCTTAAAGCTGATCTTATTTGCAATCGTATGAAGATCACTAAACTGGATAAAATGCTCAACTCACCAGAAATACTATTGGGACAATCTACTCAATTTATCTTAATCCTAACATTCCACTAAAAATCGAGAAATACATCTCTAATATATGATTATGATTTATATATATATGATATATTATTATGTCATGATTCTCAAATGCACATGATTTTTCCATGATGTTCGAAAGCTGTAAAGGTTGATAGAAATGAACTCTGCACATTGTAGGGACAACGGTGCTTTCGTTTAGCCTTTTGAGCACAAGATAGAGAAGAATTGTGATTAATTGCTACCTAAGGGCTAGACCGAGATGCGTTGATGAGCTCTCCTGCACATAACCACAAATCTGTACCCTATGACATGTAAAGACATATATTCTCTTCCAAATCCCCACCGAGACTTTCTCATAATTCTCCCTCGTGCACTTTCGAAAAGATTGAAGAACTCGGGGCCGGAGCTCCCTACAAGAGATCTCGAGGAAATCTGCAACTTTGGGAATCAGATTCGTTTGTCTGCTTCGTGCAACCACAACGGAGACAACTGCCTCTAGGGTGCTCGACCAGGCCTCTATAGGGCCATCGTTGTACTCGCTCTTAATGTCGATAGCGCACACGAACCTAGAAGTGTTGGCAAAGATCGGAAATCGTCCAGAGATCTATGGCGAAAATTCTCGGGAAGGGGACTTTGTTTCTCTCACGACTGACCCGGTCCCAGATGATGATGCGCTTCTCCTCACCGAGAATGAAGAAGCTCGATCGAGGCCAGCGAGTAAACTTCCTCTTCATCTTCGCCCTCTTCTTCTTCATCCTCGTAGAGTTTGCCACCTCGCGCGTGCGGAGGTGGCAAGCTCCGTATTTATTAGTGGTCTCTTCCGTAATTAGTGGTCGCAACACTAATTAAGGAATAAATACTTATGGGGCAAGACGATATTTGGCAAAGTGACTTGATTAGTGCGCACTGATTAAATTACGCACTCTATGAACAGCTGCATTCGGTTTCAAGTGCGCACAATGTTTTAAAGCAGACTTTATGACCGTCGTTGCGAGATTTCATTCGTATGACAGTCGACAGGAGGTGGTGGTGCGACATGACGAGGCTTTACCTCCCCATACGCCAAGAGAACTGCCTATACTTCCTCGTGCACTAATTTCCATGACTCGTACACCATGACATGGCATGAAACTGGACCTGTCTTTTAGATTAGGTTCCAGTGTGCGATTCTGCTGCTGCACCGACTCGTCTCATCTCATCTGGATCGATCCTCTGGTTTCGGTTTGGTTCCACCAGTCGAGGGCCTGTTACAAATAGTATACGCTTGGGTCACGAGGAAGTCAGTATCAAAAGAGTGAGATATTTCGGATTGATGAGGTCCCATAAGGTTCGATGCACGCCATGGAGGCAGTCTCTAAAGGGGTGACGACAATTTCGAACAGAACTGGAGCTGAAGTATCTCCAATTTCAGTGCAAAGTTTTGAAACACAAAAAGTAGAAGATAATAATGTGTTTTATATGAACAGGAGATTTTCAGAAGCCATATATATATATTTATATATATATTTATTTATTTATTTATAATGTTATGAGTCTTTGGAAGCTCACTCATGTGTAATGGTTTATGGAAACATTTTTCAATAAGGCAATGAGCAGAAATGAAGACGATGCAGAGGTAGAAGCTAACATGCCAAATTTTTTTTCATGCGTGGGATAATTGAATGTATGGCGTCACAAGCTTTCAAGGTTATGTTTATGCTCATTACGATTACTGATTTTGACATAAAGTAAAAAACAGACTCTTCCGAAATGCAATATGTTTGACAAAAAATCCTCAATTTAGATTGAAATTACTTGTGCATATCCACGTGCTCTTACAAATAAAAATGTGAAAATTCGAATAATGGTCCACATTAAGGGTTTGCATTTAAATCTTAATAAATATCTGTCACTCATTAAAGCACATACATTGAAGAAGATGAGAGCGATTCTGCATATTGTATCCTTCGATGAAACTACAGAGAGCTTCAGATAAAATGCTTTAGTATCATAGACTCAATTCCTCTCTAACTGAATCGCTCTGAAAGGAGAGACAGTCTGACATTGTGAATCAAGAGAAACAAAAAGTGTTTGTAGAAACATGGAAACAATGTAAAATAAGACAATTCAGATCAACTCTTTCATAAGGAAAAACCATGCGCTCACCCAACTTCGAAATGAAATCATGAAAGGTCATAGCGCAAGCTATGACCTTTGTAGACGGACTCATCATTTATTTGCCATGTTCGCAACAGAGTACGGACCAAGTGCTGCATGTTTCGCAACTGCCGAATAGTCTATCGGCGAAGGATGCAATAATCTTGGAAGTTTATTTCGACCATGCTGTACGTGGAGTTTGAACGACCCTCCTACTTCATCCCAATTGTTAAACTTTGTATTCAATACCTCTGATTTCTGCATGTGCATGAAGGCGGTCGGGGCTATGCGTATCAAGTTGACTTCGTCTATTCCTTGAATATAGTCCAGACATGTGTTCACGTTTTTCACATTTTTTGAGAGTTTCCACTCCCTTTCCAACAGCCCACATCATTTTCGGAACGTAAAAGATGTGGGCTGTGTGAGCGATCTTCACGTCTCACCCGAAAACCGGGTTATGATGGAACTCCGACACTTCAGCGAATTCTTCCATCGATTGTGAATACATATTGCGGTCGACATCTCCGGAGCTTCCTTCTCCTTTCAAAGAAGTGCCTCCACCCCCACTGCGAATCATGTCGGCATTGAGGTCGTGGAAAATCAAGTGGCAAATTCCGATGTTGAGAGGATGTAGGCTTCGACTTCAAAGAAGACGAGGAAATCTTTGGGTGAAATGAGGACACCATGCTTCTTGCTTCCCACATTTTCCCACATTCAATTCATTCATTGCTGCAAAAATACGGTTTGACCCACGCCAGCGTCTAACCACACGCACTCCAGCAGAGGGCCGTGAGAACAAAGGCCGACCAGTCTGCGATACGGATCCCCTCACCAGGTGAGGGGAGATCTTCTGTGTTCTGCATTTTTCTGACCGGAGTATGTGTGAGTCCCGGTATATTCCGAAGCCGAGGCCGGTCATGATCCGGCATATTCCGAAGCCCGGCGACCGGAGACCGGCGACCAAGTCGAAGAAATGCCCACATTGAAGCATTCGTTCGTTCCCTGTTTTTGCTTCGGTGACAAGATTTTCGAAGTCTCTTCTGCCAGGTCAGCATCTTTAATACTCCCGCTTTTCCCCGCGCCATTATCTCTTGCAATACTTTCTGCTCGATAGAATTCGAACCCGAAGGTATTTCTAATGTCGAAATCTGAAATTCGAACGTTCGAGGGGCGTCCGCTAACGGGCCACATGATAAAGAGCTTCCGTCCGACTTGGCTCTTATGGTTTGGGTTGGGTTAGGTTGTTGGCTTATAAGCTTCGCGGCGCCACTGTGGACTTCAGATGTTATGGCGATTCCTTGGTGGAAGTGGCGCGGTGTTTTCTTGGAATCAAGACAATGTGGAATGATGAGTAATTATTCTCGTTTGTGGCATTTGACGCTAGCAGAATATGTGGAACCTGAGATAGCAGATTCGGATGTCCAAGCATCAATTCTGTGCCTTTTTATGAGTTCGAGAAGAGATTTTATTCGGTCGTTCGTTCGTTGGTGTGGCAAGAAGAGTTGAAAGCTTTCACTTGAAAGCATTGCATTTGGTGTTGAAAGAATTCACTTGATGTGTGCAGATCCGAAATAAGTCATTCTTGCGGACGGTGTTAACTCCGTGGTATCTAGCGGCCTTCCTCCGATGTGAAGGGCAAGTGTCATCCGCGATGGATGGCCCAAAAGGTAACTCTCATGCCGCATCAAAAGAGCTGATGAAAGAAAGTTCATAGTTTGCTGTGAGAAGTGATATTCCTCCTGTTCCACCAACAGAGAACCGATAAGATGAGATGATCATGTCCCCACCAGAAATCTTTCATCATTCTTCTCACATGAAGCACTTAACCGAGGGTAGGGCATCATTTGTCTAGAAACTCGCCTTTTGGGACTTTGGCCTTTTAGCGTAGTTGACGAGAAACATGAGAGTAGGGAGGGAGCCGAGGAGACCGACCTTGAATCTGCACAGGACCCACAAATCCACACTTTTCTTACTTCATTGGAACAGACAGAAATTTTGTCTATCTAACCAGACATCATCATCATGCCAAAATAATCGTGTCAGGTACAAAATGCCACCCTCCTATGCCATGCGCACCTTAACAACAAAGTATTAATTTTCTCACTGTCTTGAGACACGGTCAACTTTACAACTGGTGGCCAATAAATTATTGTAGAAACGAAACTTTTGGACGAGTGGTAAAGCACACATATGGCTCACATTCGATCTAGACCACTAGCAACCAATATATGCTTACTACTGTTGATGATCATGTATAAAATCCGCCACCCTCACGCCCTGCCCATCATCGGATTATCTCTATCTTCATGAGTCAGACGAGAAGGAATATAAAACGCAGTCCAAACGAACTGCAGGACCGGGACAGTACTTGGACTATTCAACTACAGTACAGTAGGGCATCTTCCACCGCGCTCCGGCAACGGCAGCACCGTATGCCTCTCCGTCGGTACGTCGTCGGGTCTCGTCTCCATCGAGCACGAGTCATTCGTCATCCATCACCGCCAAACTCTGCTTCTGCATCCCCTTCTGCTTTTCCACGCGCGTCGCTCGGTGGGTGAAAACGGGGGTGAATCTCAACGTCTCCCATCCGGGTGAAACTCATATATACGCGAAGGTCATAGTCTTCTTGCTAGACGTACGAAACGAACTGTTTGTTGGGGAGTCAAGAACCGACGAGGAAACGCTCCTCTAAGGGTGGCACTCGCAAGTCGCATGAATGAACGAACAAACCATTGTAGTGCGACCATTGTTCCCAGTGTAGGAAGGAAATCTCGGCTTCTTGTCGAATTCGATGGTGTCCCGGATTGTGGTGGAGATCTGCAGTGAGCGTGCCTCTGACCTGACTTCCTTGTCCGTGTCATCTGTGCCAGCGAGTGAAAACTCGGGGGACGATCCGAACGACGCCCGGAACGACTCTTGCCAAATTCATCCATCCAGACGGGCTATGAGTATCACGCTACAGAACATAGACATGACCTGGACATGCAAAGGAACCACGACCGGTTTCATATTCTGCATGCCCTAAGATGCTGCTCTCCAGTCCACTGACTTTTTGCCAATTATGAGTTCAGTAGTTTTGCTTCTCCTTTCACGGACAAAAAGATCTTTCTCGAACATAATTGAGTTCAACTTCTCTTGTAGGGTCACGAGTGTCAGATCGAGTCTTTTACTGTTTCTGATGAGTTACGATTTCAGCGGACTCTCATTGCCTTCAAAAGTGGCACGCCTTCATTGCCTCGCGAGCATCATTCCTTTCTCATTTATGCTCGTCTCGCCCTCGTCTCTCGACGCCATTTGCAAAATTAGAATCCGAAATGCCACCTTCTTTTCGGTGCGTGTCTTCAGCAGGACACGATGGACAGTCGAGGAGTTGGCATCAAATGTGTGCGTAATGGCAGCAGCTGTAACGCCTCGCTTCGCACTCACCGATGGAATTGTGGTCTGGTCTTTGATTCCTTCCGCTCGGAATTCTTGTCCCGCTCCTGCGCAGATTTATTGCTCCCTTTCCTTCTGGCGAAGTAATGCGTGAACGGAAAGAGTCCCTTGTCCGAAAAAAAATCCCGAGACAATCGTTTTTCCATATGCTATAGAGAATGTTTTCTGCATCAGGGGACTCTCTCGTCCACATGAGCGATTTAATACTGCGCATTAAGCTCAAGGACTACTGAATATGTTATTTCGCCTGAAGCTCTTGGGGTAGAAATATTGTGACGCCATGGGCCATGGTGCATCGAGCTCAAACCCAGTCTGAGGTTTATCCATATCCATCTCACCTAGTATATATATATTAGGAGAGGGGGCCACCGGATCGGAAGGTCATGGCCAAGGAGCCGGTAAAGGGACCGAGGGTGCGGGCGGTCTCCGGGTTGCAATCTGGGGCTTTTTGGTGGGTGGGCGGTAATTTAGGGGCGAGCATTTAGAGGCGAGCAAGTAGTCCAAATTACTCGAACATAATAATCATTGGAGAGCAAGCAGTGACGTTTGAGAGCAAGTTCCCCCCTACTACTACTACTAACAGGCCATGCTTGTCTCGGTGCAGATTTTAGGTCTGGATTATACTCATGTCCCCGAAGCCGTGACATATCGGATTATAATACAGTAAGCGGAATGCTCAAGGCGAAAGAAACAGGATAGAAGACTCTAAGCGATCGCAGCAAAACTTGTCCCCCAAAAGTTGATAGCCCGACGACCAGACCTGGAAAGGGGCGGGGAATCTTTTCTCTCGCGCACATCGGAATGACCTCTCGCAGCCCGGCGCCCGTCGAAGCCTAGTGCCATAATGCCGAGCACAAGCAGAGCATCCGGGCTTCGTAGACCATCAGGGCCAGACAGACAGAAAAAGAAGTAGAAGAATCCGTAGCTTGGCTATGGCATCTGGGAAAGCGTCGTCCGCAACCAGGTGAGGCCTCGTGTACACTTCTGCGGCGAAGTCCGAAGGCTGAAGGCTGAAGCGTCGTCGCAGAATGGCATCATGAATCGGATAGGACAGTTGAAGCTGATGACGCTCAACACTCCACCGCACCCTGAGGTTTGCTTTCTGCCTGAACCAGAGTCTCTCGCATTCCAAAGTCACATCGACCAGGGTTTACGTACATGGAAGTCTGGAACTGCAACGAAATACAATGCTTCAAATGATGCTCGCTATCGGCCTCATTGTTGCTCTAGCTTCTACATGCCCCTTTTAGACTCGAGGTCGGCAGTAAAGTGGATCTGGCAGGAGATAGTAGCACCCTCTCGCGCCTTTCCGTGTCTCATTCCATTTAACAAAAGGGTCACTCCGAAAGTGTGGCAAGTGCAGGCACCATGTGTCTACCGTGTCAACTCGCTCCAATTCCGATGCATTCAGTGGCATCCGACGCCCACTTCGCTTCGTGTTCATCTTCATCATCTGGGTGCCTTTCGACCGCCGGGGCGAGACGATCCCCGCATCCGAGAGAGGACTTCATCAAGGTACGCTCGCGAAGGCAGAGAGAGATGCTGTGAAACAGCGAAACTCGCCCGCCCGAAATGGCATCTGTTATCCACAACAGCAGATAAAGCGAGGCCGCGTTCCGCAGACAAGTGAGGCACGTCCGTGCTGACACCCGAGAAATTTTGCGAGCGTAATGGCGCCCATGTCCTTTTGCTCATGTACAGTGAGTGCCAGCTTCATGTGAGCGAGGCTTCACATCTCTCGATGACACACCGTATCCAAGGCCACTTTCCCAAAGCAAATGCCTGATTTTCTGTTGGATAGGGAAGACAAAAGACTCCGATCCTCGCTGCGACCCGTCCTCTGCTGCCTCCGTCGCCTCGCGCCTCTCCTGTGGTCCCCGAATGCCTCATTGTTTATCGGGAAAGAGGGCCTCCTCCGCTATAATGAGGTCCGAGTAGGGACCCGACCCCCGAGGCTACCCCCCACCCCTCCGGCACGCCCCGCAGACAGAGACAGACCGAGCGGACGGAAAGTTTCGCCGTCCGGGTGCCCGACGTATGTATGACCGGGCAGCCAAGCGAATCCCGAAGCATACTGCAGGTAATATATTGCGTGAGTTAGACGGCGAGCGGCCTGAATACACGGGCCCGGATGTATGCCTGGCCCTGCTGATGCTCTGCTGATGGCATGGCAACATGCTGCTGCTGCTGCGCGACTGCCTTCGGGCCAGCCAGTCAGCCAGCGCACCCCATACCCTCGCCAGCCACAGCCACTCGCCATCGCGCGCATGTGGCACTCACGTGCAATACGTCCAGGGCCTCCAGCCTGCGCCAACCTTCCGGGAGCCCCTCGGTTCGAGCGACCTACCGCTCGCTACTGGAACCCTCACGAGAACATTCCGCCTCGTCTCGGCGGTTCCCCGATAGAAGGACATTCCTCCCTTGTAACGAAGACGCTCACTGATCGCTTCAGAGCTGCGAGCGGCCTTACCACGGTTGGTTGGGACCAACTCCGGGTGATCGCTAACATGTGGTTAGCTAAACCGGGAATGTTCAGGCCTCCGAAGTCCACCCGAGGGTTGACAACGCCAGTCCAGCTAACCTCAAGGCGTGCTCAGCGGGGACAGATCAGAGCTCGGGTTCAAAGGCGAGGAAGGAAGGCCCGGTCAGCCGAGGAATGTCGAACAGACCTCAACTAATCCCACATCGGGACTCAGAGTCCTGCCGACCCTGACCCTGACCCTGATCCTGACCTGACCTGACCGGATTCTGTTGTGCTGTAGCAGCTGTGGGGTTTGAGGCACCAAACGGAGATGGCGACTGTAGACCCGACCCCCGGCCTGACCCGACCCGACTCGACCGGACCCGACCGGACCCGCGTGGGAACCGAGCGGTTAGAGTTCGTTGGAACCGAGTGGGTCTTGACAACGAAAAGCGTGCGGAGTGCTGAACTGCGCGTGGGCGCGCAGCGCACAATGCGCGCACGGCTTCACGTTTCAACCAATTCCTCGAGCTGGTCTCGTCGTCGACGAATTCGGGCAAATAAGATCTTGGATCCGGTGGAGCGTGGTTTTCCCATTGCCCTTCATTTATCATGAATTCTATTCGATGCTGTTAGTGGCTCTGTGCCCTCCTGCCTGCCTCGTACTATGCGGGTACAGCCAATGCATGCGTCTAACACACTCTTTGATGAAGAAGAAGAAGCAGCAGCAGGAGGAGCGACAACGGACGACGACGGGGTTATTGTCTCAAGTACAAATGGAGCCAATAATACAAACCTTCCATCAAACGCTTTGGGTCAATAATTTGATGATGTTGCATTATTCGCAGGTTTATAATGGCCGGACTGATTTGTAGCGGTATGGGTGATGAGCTAAGCGAGCAGCTACTGTGTAGCGGCACCATCAAGCCGAGAGGAGGGGGAGACATGTGCCGAGGGCACTGTTCGACCTTTCTTGTTAGAGATTGTCTTAAAGGGAAGTACCAGCAAAAGGCTTTTCCTCTTCCCAACAAAATGTTGTGTTGCCCCCCGCCCCCTGCCTCCCGGCCGGCAAGTGGTTCCATTCATCTCGCACCTCGTCTCCCACTGTTGTACCGCCACCACTCTGCGAGAGTTTTGAATGCTCGAACCTCGTTGAATAGCCTCCCTTTTTGCACGCAGTTTGCGACCCTAGCCTCACGCTGCGTGTCTGTGGCAAGTTACCGAACAAGGTCAAAGGTTTGATTCGGTACAAGACAGCGCTGCAAAGTGTTGTTTCACAGAGTGCATTTTCTCCTGACAGTATTTGAAAATCAAATCCACGGAAAGCCATGTGCATGAACAAAGCACACACGAGGTACGTATCCCACTCTCATAAATAGCTGTATTTCTTAAGTCCACTCAAAGGAATCGTCGACTTCCATTGGCAGACGTTTTTCTAGGCAAGATATTAATTTCCTACTAGTGCCATAAAAGGGTTTTGGTCAAACGAGGCTTCGAACGAAGCTCGTACCGTTACCTTCTCGATCAAAACTTGTCGCTGAATGTTGACATCTAAATTATTTCTTTCCTGGGTCACCATACTTATCCTGAATTCGAAAGAATTCGAGTATCTCTACGTGCTGTAGTTGACACTCAACGCTTCATTATGAGAGATCAGCACACATTGGGATCCGATAAAATAGGATACGGTTTAATCTAACGTATGGCCTTGATGATTCTCAAGTGTATTATCATGTGTTACACGTATTGACGGGCAATCGTGAACCTTGAGTCGGGTCAGACGAAAATACCGCTTTATATTGCAATCTATGGGCTGCTAGTTGCGTCTGCATTTACTCGCGTACAAGGACAGAAGCCTCAGCTCTCATTATTTCGACCAAAAGGAAGTTGCAAGACTGGAAAAATATCCATACCCTTGACAGAAGAAGAAGAAGAGAAGGCTCGTTTTCATGTCTCTGCGTATTCATGGAGATCTCGAGAATAATAACCTTTCCGAGGCACGGAGGACCAAGATTTGATGGAAGGTCGAAGATGTCTGAAGCGTATTGAGTGCACCATGGGACGGAAGAATTGTTTCAGCTTTTGTCCAAAAAAAGTGCCAAAAGACAGACGAAATTCCTGCGTCTACTGAAAGGAAGACAGACTAAGCAAAAGGGTTACGAGGAAAAGCTTGTCCCCAGAATTAGTCAATGAACGCTGCGTATTCCCAGAAATTCAGGTCAGTGGAAATGTAAGGAGCGAGCTTACTTTACAGGACAGCTAACCTACTTTACCTGACTTCAAATCTTGCGTTAAATCTTTGTAGCTTAACTAGTCTATCTAAGCTTGCAAAGACATGCAACTCCGTAGAGCGAAGAGGGCCGATTCAATAAGAGCTCAATCATAAGCAGTAATCATCATGCTTGCTTTCCGAAATGTGTGATCCAAACGTAACTAACGTAGCCAAATCGGAGGAAATCAGACACACTGTTGTTCTGTTGCCTAGTCTCGGTTGCCTGATGAGATGAGATTAGAGCAGAGCAGAGCCGATCAACTACCTCGCAGAGGGAGAGCAGGCCAAAAGCTTCCTTGTCTTGCTACAACTTCCAAGCGCGCTCCTAAGATCCTACCGCTTCGTCCATGTTCAGCGGATGAAGAGAAAAGTGGAATCGTGGAAAACGTCGACCGTGGATGGACATGACATGACAGCACTGATCGAGCAGAAGGGAGCTCATGATATTGTCTTGAAATCTGTCGTGCTTACCGGTTCTACCTCGTAGGCTCAGAGCGTTGGTTTGTCACATTTTGCACACACGTTTAGAGCCGAGCCGATACAGGTGTAAAGAATGTTCTCGATCAACTGCCAATCGTCTGGGCTGGACCAGGAGCAGGTTCTCGCTTCGAAAGAACGCCCCCGACCAAGGTGGTGCAAAGCTGCGTACGCTGTTCCATATCTCGTTGCATGGGCCTCAAGCACAAGAAAAATACTGCTCAAGAGCACCGTACGACGCGATTTCGAGCCACGAGGGTAAGGTTGAGGGTGAGGTGTTTGGGAGGGTCGGTCTATCTATCGTATTCGGTTCGCTAGCATTTCGGTTCCAGCGCTTGTCGCACGACATGCAACTTTGGTGTCTCCAAAGCCCGTGGCTGCTGCTGCTAGCGACGTCGAAAGAGGAAAAAAAAAATGGTTATCGAGCATGAAAGATCCCGGCATCGCCACAAAAAGTACCCTTCTCGTCCTCGGCCTTTACAAAATTGATCGACGAGGCTTCACAGGTCTCCCCGCCACCCTCACCGACATGACACGACACGACATAGCCTGACCTGACCCTGACCTGGGCCTCGACCGCAGACCTAACCGGGCTCGCTCGCCCTCGACCTTTATTGAATATATACAAAAGCTTCTTGCGTAACGGTCCGCTCGTGACAAACGGTAGAGAGAGAGGGAGGGAGAGGGAGAGGGACGTCGAGATATTCGACTTCTTGGTCGCGGGTACAATTCTTGCTCGCCAAGTTTCCTCGATCGTATTTCGATGTCGAAGGACCGGCCGATGCTGAGGCTGAGGCTGAGGCGGGCATTACATGTCGACCTCGCTCGCTGCGAGAGCTGCGAGAGCTGCGAGTTGCGAGATGCGACGCTAAGACGATGGCCTAACTTCGTTAAGGCTGTCGGACGGAAGCGAGCCTCGTACTGACTGTGTAGATTAGCCGGTTACAGTTTCGTCTTACACGTACCGTCGACACAGCTGTTGGCGAGCCCATAATCTCTAGAAATCTGACAGTTCAGAATCTAGTGTGCAATCCATTCCCTTTCAAGTGACAACTTTCTGGCATATAATACTCGCGAGTGGTACAAGTTTCTTTGTTTTCATTCATGATCAGTGTCATACGAGCAAATGATGTAAGGCCCTTCTTTCTCTCTCTCTCTCCCTCTCTCTCTATTCAGAGATCCTCAGAAAGATTATATTTTCGAGGCATAATATCTTGTACTTGATTTATGACATCAAATATCCACTTTTACCAGACTTGGAAAGCTGAGACGTGAAGACGCTCTTCATGGCTTGCTATCAATAGCTAAATCTACGTATTAATCCTGTCGACATAAATCAGAAAAAAGAAGATCCCCTCTGTGATACATTTTACGCCTTGACCAGACCAGACCATGAATCTGTACGTCCCTTCCGTAATCCTCAAGACGAGAAGGCCACACTCCATTCATGCACTTACTGCACATTAGGAAATTTGTGATTCGAATGAGGAAAAACTGAGCCGTGAGTTGCGAGTCATCAGATCAAATGTTTCCAAGGTCGAATTTTTTATATTTTTCTATTCTATAGATTCTCAATAGAAGATTCTTCTCATTATACTGCAACCACGATTGAAGATGCTCTGCGGTACAAATGAATGAACTGATAAGATCGTCCCCGGGCCGACGACAGTGTTGTTGATGGCCCTGCGGTGTAGTCTGGAGAATCAGGCCTTCTTATCATTTGACTGTTGTTGTGAAGAGACATTCAGGAGAATCTTGTTGACCCTTTTCGAAGATTAGCAGCTTATGAGGTCTCGACAAAATCTGGTAAAGCCTTGCTCAAACCCGTCGAGGTCGTTCTTGATTTATTAAATAATTTGAAGTGGGAAATATCTCCATTTATGGTAGAAGGTGTTATCATGACCTAAATTAGAGTTTTCATGGCTAGATAATGCTGACACAAGAAAAGGCGTGTGTACTTATTTTTACTTTACCTGGATTCCACGATTTGCGTGTACCCTTCTAAATGATTGGTCTTCAAGTTGTTGCCACCTTATGGAGTCCCCAGCCAATTGCAAACAAGATGAGATCGTTACGCAATATACTCATGGATGTATTGAAACTGGAATTGTATATAGCCATCTGTGTATGATAACTTCCTCTCAAGCTTCAGTTTCTTAGAATTTTAGACAAAAAACAAAAGTCCATTCATACTTCGCTGCTTCTAAGCTCCTAACACGTCCCTAAACCTCTTTTATCCACAAAGCGATCTCTCTTTCAGGAGTGTGCTTGCTTGCAGGTGTCTTGGAGTGTTCTTTTTTGGATTTTTATGCTTTGTACCTTGCCAAATATCAACGAGGCCATCAATCTAGTTCCGTTGAAACTGAAGTACTCTGTCTCTTACTATCGGTCAGACTTTGCACTCTTCTGACTATTTTTTGTTTGAAAAACAGTAAAAAAAGTCACACATTGTACGTGTTCCGTATACACCCCCAAATCCAATCAAGGTTCTAACGATTACTAAGAAGATAACACTGAAAATGAGGGTGAGGGTCAGCACTAGTCTGAACCCACAGATCAGTCCCAATCCCTAGAAAGACAAATTTCGGGACGGCCGATTTCATCATTCGGAGCAGCGGTGCATATTCTATCCGCCTTTATTTGATAAGTTGATTATGATCTTGTGTACACTGCTCAGAGTGAACTCTGATCTACTAATCGTGATCGTGCACCGCTTTCAAACTGAACAAAACAGAACTGTTCATGCAAATTTAGGTTAAATTTTATTTGATTTTGAATGTCCTATTTACTGATTCCAGACAAAGTCATATTCAAGATGTTGCGTAGAACAATACAACAATCATGAACATTGTGAACCTTCGGGCGAGATTGACTGATGCATAAGGACCAGAACATACTTCTCACGACAGAATGACTGGCCACGATCAGTCTACTCCATGCTACAACCGCCAAAGTGACCGCAGCCTTCTTAATCGCAAGAATACATCCCAACCCCAGTTCCTAATACTAGTAAACCTGAACACGGAATTCCAGAACAATCGAATGAAAGATTGGTAGCCTTGCCCGAGGAGGAAATATGTTGTCTGAAAGTAATCGTCCAAACTAAGAGATTTCACACCCATGGATGATAAATGTGAAAGTTGTAAAGCTTGATAGTACTCCTTGAAGCAAAGGCCTGGGAATCAACAACTTGCTACCTACAGATCAATTTAACATTTTCAACCGACGCATTTTTCATCGAGACGAAGCCTGACCTACCATGAATCTCGAGGGTAGGTCAGGCTTCTGCTGAGGTTAGTCTGCTGCACGAGGTGATCTTATCATCCCATGGCATTATTCGAGTTATACGCAAGAAAGCAAGGGACATGTCAAGACTAGAGGTTTCTTTACAATGGTAAGGATAGGAACGACGATTGCCAAACACCAAACCACTGAGCACCTTTTCGGGGCTACAGAAACATATGTCACAGAGTTCATTGACACCATAGCTACGCATGAATGGTGCTTCTGGTTGCCGAAGCCATGGAAGTTTAGTTGTTCGTGCCAATCGCTGTGAGGATGGACGGGTTGGTCGATCTACCTGCAACGTGCTCGTCATTAACAACAGATGTGGTTGGGTATGGGTGGACCATTTTTCTGCCCACGGCGTTCAGACCGTTTGACAATCGAGAGCTGGACTGTAGAGAGAGACTGGCAAATTCTGTCGTTCGCAGTGTATGAAAAGCCTACGGTCGTCCATCGTCTGGGCCAGCAGTTGTGCTTCGAAAGAAACCAAATGAACTGCCATGCCTGCCGAACCGCTTTTTTCTTCAACTACGAGAGCTCCGTAGAATTTAACCACTTCCTCTTGCTATGCTTTCTGCAAGCTTTCGGAGCTGAGTATGCACAGGCTCCAGTACGAAACCATTCGGGCTCTCGATGGCCCACCTTTTTCCATCCCAGATGAACTTTCTTAAGAAATACTACAACTTCTGACACATATTCGTCTTTAAACGATAGTGATAGGAATGTACATATTTTAACACTAATTCGAAATCGTCGAAATGCATGACAGAACTCTGCCCCATGAAATGAAAGGGGCCAAGTTCAGACCAGAGAGAAACGACATGGGCCTCAACCCTTTCTTTCTAATCCAGTCTTTAATTTGGTAATTCCTTTTACAAACTCTACCACCGTACAGTGACCCACTGCAGCCACTGTTTGACTGCATAGTTGACGAGGTGCTCTGCTACATCCACCTGCACACAATATGCACACCCGTGAGATATAAAGCAGACGTGACTCGAGGATGAACTTGTGGCGGCCATACATGCCTGAAATTCGACAGAAATCATAACATGAGTTCCAGATGATGAGTTCCAGACCATGTAAACTACAAAGCCATTATGGAACGAAGTACCAATCGTAGTGATGAGAAACGGAGGAAATTTGCCAGGATGACAACGCGTGATCTTCCGGTACAGCTAGATACTGTAATACCATAAACATCACATTTGACATTCACGACCAGGTTGTGGAAAACAGCAAGTTCGAAAACGGGCCTGGCGTAATACCTGTGTCCATGTTGCAGTATAGTTGTCGAGAGAGAGCCGCCAACTCAAACCTCCGAGATTGACCGGTTTTTCTTGTTCAGCAGCCTCATCGCTATCACTTCCCGTATCATCATCGTCGCTGAGCTGAGCTCGCTTTCTGGACCTCCGTCTCGGCTTTCGCCTTTTCCTCTTCTCACTTCTCTTCCTCTCCTTGCTCGTGCTGATCAACTCGTAAATTTCAGCAGAAGCAGGCTTGGTACGAAGAAAGCCGGTGCCGACCTCCGTCATAAGCCTTTCGAGAGATTCTGCCGAGGTGCTTCCTTGACTCAATAGATGGAAGAGCAGCCATGCCTCCATACTAAGCCATTTGACAGCCTCCCATTTCTCCGCTTGAAGGCATTCTGGTCTCAATCTCCAATGATCCTTCTCAAAAGAAGCTCTCTCCGACAGCAAGCACCTCAATGCTCTTGCGTCTTCCGCGTGTTCCTCGTCCAGCACTAGTTTCAACATCTCTCGCCCACGACTCGCACAGGCGTTGCTGAAAGAAGCATCGTACAGGTTCTTCCATTCCATACCGGTGGCAAAAACCATCTCAAGCCAAGGCGTGTCCTTGGAGCTATTGCGTACAGTGTAATCCTGGTTGATACTTTTGTTTCTGGAATCTCTGCCTGATTTTCTCAGGGCGCTTCCGACGTTGGAAATAAACTCAAGCAGAGTCTTGTCACTCATCAAGTGAAGAGTTCGCTGGCAAAGTACAGAGAAGGACTCATTGCTCAGAAACTCTTCGATAAGTAACCACAAGTCATGCCGCTTATCGCCCATCAGTCTTTCAAGTAGCTCGTTATGGAAAAATTCATAATCTAAGGAAAGGAAATCACCTTCTTCCAGTGAGTCTCTCAGTTCTTCTGAGAACCAAAAGGATGGAACATGCTCAAGAAAGTTATCGACAGTCCTGAGGACATCGAGTTCAGAGAAATAATGTGGTTTGGATGCAACTGTCGCGGGAGCTTGTGAGTGCTTGCCCTTCCACTCTAGCTCGTGCCAGTAATCCTCACGATGCAAGAAAGCATATCGAGAAAGTGCCCTGGCTCCCAACCGGTGATCCGTCTCTCCAGGTCCAGCAAAATTTTGAAACCATCCCAAAATCCTCTTTGGATGTCCTGTCAAATATAGAGGACTCATTTCATCAGGTAATTTCCTGTTTGGAACGACGTTTTTTCAATGGCAGAGTGGCTTAGCGTGTACGTATGTGATGTTCTTTGTTGAGTTAAGTCCTGCTTGTAATTTCTTCGCTAAGCCCTAAAACCCTCCCTTCCCTTAGTTACAGAGCATGGTAAAGAAAATGTACCGGAGAAAAACTGGCGAAGAAGTTTATCGTCAGTTGCCAGTAGTCGCCCAACTTGCTTCGGGTAGCTGTCGCATAGCATTCTCACGATCTGCTTCAGAAGAAGTTCCGCATTGTGATCACTCTGTCGAGATGAATCCACCCTTCAAACACAAAGAAATGTTTCAGGAACAAAAGTCAGAACATTCTGATTTCAAGTACTTAACCAACGAGGGCAAGTTTATCTCCAGTATTTCGAAACATGCAAATTGAAAGCACTGACATGACTCGATACCATCCGTGACTGCCAACAATATACGCGTTCCTGTCTGTAATACGTACGGGTTTTAGGGTCGTCAGCTTACAGACAAATACACCTTTGATATTTGCTCTAATCCACTAATTCACTAATATTGTACTGCAACTGTCCAGTGCGCGCAAATATGGAACTCTGGTACAAACTCTGAGCTCTCTCTTGCGATAAGTACAAAGCCAATGCAGACGCACAGCTCAAGATTGTACAGAAAGAGAGAAGTTACAACGAAAAAACCACGCATGCGCAGATTGTAGCAAAACTTACAAGAAAACGTGAGTGAGTACTCAGCGCCTTGCCTTTTTGCCTGGAAGCTGTGGGTCAAAGCAGCTTCCCTGAGGAAACTCATAAACACAGATGCCTGAACACGGTGCGGAACAACAAGTTCTGCAACAGCGGAACATAACCAGACGCGAGCTTCTGATCCGACCACCCGTCTCAACACATCCTCGAGCTTATCGAGCCAACGGAAGAGTTCCTCTGAGAAGGCATCACTCTTCTCATCCGGAGACTCGACAATGGGTGGTGCCAGGCATAAACTCGGCGTCAATTTCGAGCTCGACTCCTCCAAACTATCCATATTGGACAGTAAATGCGTCAAATTGAAGTGAAGCGAATGATCATCGTCCAGCCTTTCGAATGCCACTTCAAACCTGGTGGCACAAAACTCTCGAACCAAACCTTGTCCGCCATGCTGTCGTGCCCCAGTCCCGACTGAAACCACGCCAAACAATCATGACAATCAGACTGCGGGAAAACTCGACAATCCTAAACGCTTCGGCGGCTACACTGCAATTCGCCTCAGAGATTCTCACGGTGACAAGTCTTGCCCTGCAACGTGAGCTCCATCAAAGCTCCCTTAAACCTCTCCACCAAAGTTCTGGAAAAAAATAAAATTCGTGGAAGTGGAGCAAGAAAGAGCCGAAGGTAATGAATGATCGAAAAGCAGAATTCATGAACAGAGCGAAGGAAGATGACCTTCGAGCATCCATCGAGTCTCCAACTGCGCCCTCCGCGTCCTCGTCCTGCCTCTGGCGCTCGAACGCTCGAACGTGACCAACGTCCCCGCTCAGCGCTAGGTTACGGCGTGAGTTGGAACTGGCTACTTATTAATCGATCAATTCATTGAATGTGACTGATATATAATCAAATAAAAAAGAATGTATTTTATTTTATTTCCAATATTGTCTATTTCATTTTCATACCCAAATTTTTTTATTCAAAATTTGAACATATTTTTCTGTTACTAATTGAACGAAATGAATTTTGATTTATAATGGATGAATCACACATCACATAGCGTTAGATTATGAAATTATATATTCATGAAATAAATAATATTAGGAAAAAGTATACCAAACAGACGGAAAATAATTATCTAAAAAACGATATGTTAGTTATATATAACACCTGTGAATTCGTTTTACAACAAGTAGATATTACTTGAGATGGAATCCTTCAACCTTATTGCAATCTTAGAATGTATTGTAGCAGAATTTTATTTTTTATCAACCATCTAAATCAATAATTATTCTTTTTCTAACCTCATCAAAATATTTTTGAATTTATTTTGATTTTTTGAACAAAATTGGGAGAAAATCATACTATTAGATATTTTCAAGAGTTAATTATTTGATGTTACCCATCAGAACCTAAATTGCTTGATGGAACCATCAAGTTTTGTTTCACTTGATGAGAACCCAACGACATCACAACGTAGGCAAGTTCTAAAATATGTTTTTGTACACATATGAATTGAGCTTTAGTGGATCTTTGCAATCTCAATTTGCTACTCACTAAGTCTTACAATCATTATCTATTTCGTGGTAACTTCATTTGAACTAGATATGTTGGATGTTTGTAGAATCAAGTATACTTCCAACCTTTAACATCTAACAATTGATCTTTGGCAACCAGACATTTGAATACACACAAGCTTCTCTCATCAAGCACCTTGCGTTCCATAGCAATAGCTGCTTTTGCATATATTTCGTATCATTCAATGCCATGAAATGCATTTTTTACTCGTATGCTCATCTCTCTTGCCAATATTTTTTGTCTCAAATTCTTGCCAAAAATCAGTTGCTTTTGTAGCCCTTGTAGTTTGGTAATTTCCTCATCCAATCTCCATTTTCCTGTATTCTCAACATGAGAGAAGTCTGAGTGAGAAGCAACGTTGACAAGGTCAAAGAACGGAAGAGTTGTGACTTTGGCATGGGCTTTGGACATCCCAGCTGTGACCATGACTACCCCATCTGTCTTTGTCATTTCCGACCTCGCAAGAAATTGAACTTTGTGAAAAATGCTAGTTCAATTTTTTATTTTCTTCTACCAAATTGTAACAAAATCGTCAATTCATTTCTGTCAAAAAATGCTTGGAACTACTGGAGACGAGCCATGCTCCACGACTTCCTCCGAACTTGTCCCTTGTAAGACCATCATTTCAACTTGACCTTGAAGAAGTCACAGCACCAATCTATACTGCCTCCAAGCTGGTAAGCCTCAATTCTTACTTACTGGCGGTGTGGAGCACACTCTACGAGAGCATTGTGTGAAGCCATTCATTCCATCTCTCTCGTCCGCGATTGACTTTTGCTCTCGTCTGAATACATTACCCGTTTACTGACAGAGTTCCACTACATGCACCGTCTATTGATATTAGGACATGCATGATGTGTACCGACTGCAAGATCCCATGGAGTAAAACGAAACTTAAAGTGTTCCAATAAGCAATTTAAGTTCTGATGGGATACCATCAACTAAATGACTCATATTTGTAATTATTTTATGTTTAGATATTTTAATATAAAAATTTTTTGCTACATTTTTTGACAAATTGTTATATATTATATTTATAAAAAAACACATTACAAATTTCAATACATCTCACGCATTTTTTTAAAAATTGAGGAAAAAATTTTGTCATACAAAAATTTAAAGAAATAGTATACTTTTGAAATAAATTTTAATGAATATATTCTAGCAAAAAATCTAATCACTATACTTTAATTGTCAATTTTCTTCAATCTATTAATCTAATTGAGGCCAAATAGAGTTATACAAGTAAGTCTTACTGCAAAAAGCTATTGAGTTAAAAACATCTAAATCCTTTGCAATAATTTCAAAATTAAAATCTTGGCAATCCGAGACTTGCTATATTAAAGTTTTAAATTGCACATATTATGACATATATATGGAATGATGTTTTGTAAACAATTTATGAATTTTGTCATAAAAGTTCCCGTGAAATTTTTCCAAAATTTTAAAAAGTAAATTGATTCTTATCACACTATTGATCAATCTTTGAACAGAAATTTCAGTTTTCCTATACAGTATATGTATGCTTAGGACATACTAATGCTCTTGAACAAGCTTACATACATGCTATGTAAGAGAAACAATGGCAACTATTAGGGTTTAGTTTAACTCTATAGAAGAGAAACAATGGCAACTATAAGCTATAGAATTAGGATTCTTGCTATAACACGACGTGTAAGGAACCGGCAATTAATGCCAAGGAGATCAACCACATGTCTAGACTGATGGCTGAATGTGCTTCAAGTTTTGTGTCTTGGATGCTCGAATTGAGGACCAACAAATGGTCTCATCGCCACATTGATAATCGACTCGGTTAGTTGCACAAACTTGTACTGACACCTGGCAGTACTGCCAGGTGTCAGGGATCTCAGTTTCTTTCTCCTCTTTCTTTCTTCAGGCTGCCCCGAGTCAGCCGGATTTTATCTCAGTTTTGTGAACGGGGAGACGGTGCACTTTGCGGGAGAGTCAGCGGACCCTACATTCCGGCAACCATGTAGAAGCCCTCAAGTTCTCCAAGTTCCAAGGAAAGAGTTGAGAAATCTAGATCCCGAAGTCATTCTCGCCGGTTTATGCAAGATGTGCTCCTAGAGGACTTACCAAACTCTTGTGTTTCCTCCCCTAACAACTCCCTCACTCCTGCTGGTTCTTGAACGATCAAAGTGCCTCAACTCTTTCCTTGGATCGTGGAGAACTTGGATATTGACCATGAGAAAGACTTAGAGATCTAAATCCTTCAACTCTTCCCCTGAGACGTGACCTCCTTCGAGACAGAGTACAAGAACCTAAGCATTCGGTTCTTTCCCTTGGTGAAGACGGCTGATCCATAACGAGAAAATTCGCTTATGAGGGTGACAAAACAAGAGAATAGCTGTGTCACAAAATAGTCCAAAAGGTCTCAATTCCTTGCACTCTAAAAGACTGCGATGTGAACAAAGCACCCGTGAAATCTACAATACCGAGGACAGAAGCAAGGGAGTTGCCGGGCAAAGCCCTTGCTTTTCAAAAGTGCGTCTCTGGCTGGCAAAGATGCACTTCTGGAAGAACTAGCAAATGGGCTCTGAATCTTTTTAGGAGAGAATTGCAAAGTAGTAAGTACAAGAAAGAAGGCATGCAAGAACTACATATGCGGCCGAGAGGAAATAGAAGAAGCTCAAGATGCTTAGCCGCTGACCAAATCGACGACCAGAAGTTAGCTTGTGGAAGCTGTGATGAAGACAACGCCTTTCGTTCAATTCTTGTCCCTACAAAGGATTACATCGGTTTAAGCTCTGCATGAAGATTTCTTTTACAAGCTCTCAGCTCGTCGCACAGATCACATTGTTTCATTGAACGGAAGAGGAGGTATTTAACTCGTTACCCGATTGTTGAGAGATTGATCGGCTTCTCAACTGTCAGTATCACAGAATTTGATTGTGTTGCTGGTGTTTCTTCCGGCGGGTTGACATTTAGCGCCAAGACTCGATACACAGATCGAAAGTCGTGCCGGTGGTGATGTGGTTTGGAAAAATATTCTTTTTGCAATCAATTTTGAATTTGAAGATGAAATATGTACAAGTAACCCCAAGGAGCAAGATGACAACCATGAACACTAGCGGTGCTAAGTTCAACATTGGCATGTATGATGAAATTTCTGATTATATTTAATGAGATTGTCAGGTAAAATGCATGCATTAAGCTTACATTAAGCACTTGCGCGTTGCTTACGCCAAAGACTGATTTGACGTTAGAGAGATGGACGAGATTCCTGTGAACATATTCGTATTACATCTCCAGCGTCATGTCGTGAAGCAGTTGGATATTGCATAAGCCAAAGACTAATTTGACGATGAAAAGATGCATGGGATAGCCAGAAACACAGTTGTCTTGTATCCGAGCATCATGTCATCAAGCAGTCACTTTCTTAGATGAACTTAGACTAAAGTGCGATAAGAAAGAGTTATCAAATCGGCTCTACACATCCTATAATGCACAGAGTGTTGATGAGAAAAGAATATACGATGGTACGAGTAGGCAGTTGGTACATGCCCGTAATCTGTTCTTGTTGAAATTAAATGATGAAATTCACGTTTTCAGGATACAACGCTACACCATACCTCGTGCACAGTCTATGTGCACTTCAAACAAACCTGCCATGCACAATAACTAAGCTTTCTCTTGATTTATCGAATGCAAGTGAATCCAAATAGTCTCTCAGGAGTGATATCAATTTGTTTGAGAACAGATCGTACGACAAACTGCAGAACTCTGGTGTCCGGTCCTCTCAGTAGTTGCATGTGACCCTTCTTAGATACACGCGCTAAAATTTAATGGCTGGAGAGATAAGGAAATTCCCAATGAAAGAGCAACTTCGAGATACTGAGAACGACGTCGGCTGTCGGGCGTTTGCTTATGGCCTCTAATGTGTATGAGAACGGGTTCGTTGATTTGTCATCTCACAAACACGGCTTTCGCTCCCACCAACTCTGACGGCGCGTATTCTGCAACAATGACAGCTGCTGGGAAGGATGAAATGGGCGTTTCTGCTGCAAGGCACTTCGCGGTTTCGAGAGAACCATGCACGGTCAATGGTGCCATAAGCTTTGCATTGCGTCACATACAGCCAACAACTTGATTTGCGTGTGTGTTTCAACACACACGCCATAAATGTCCTCTGAAAACCTCCACGACACTGAGCAGCGAGGCAGATCAACCACGGACAGGGCATAGAAGTATTGTAGAGATATTCCGTTGTTTTCGTTCATTTCGACTGCTTCTCTCCGCTCAACTTCTCATGGTATGTCGTGCTCTAAGGTGGACAGTTTACAACAGAGTCGTCTATTCTGCGTGCGAGAGGTGCAGCTGCGCCAGATCCTCAATCACGCCTGAGTGTGACTGGCCCTATGCCCTACACGATACGTACCCTGAACTGAAATTGGCTCTACGATTCACCATCACGTAGTAGGTCAAACTCAGCCCTCAACCTGACAATTTTGAACAAGCCATATTCGCACGGACCGAAGCACGAACTCATCATCAGTTTTCAAGAGAATCAAATGTATTGGATATTCAGAGGCTTTGAACGGAGGAGTAGACTTATTCCAAAACTGTATATGATTAGTCGAGCAGCAAAAGCTACAGTCGGAGCTGTTATCATAACCTTAAGTATGTCTCATCGGATTCAAAGGCACAACTGGTAGAGCTTTGGATTAAATTCTCCCATAATTTATCTCCAAGAGCGATTATACAGGACCTCCGATAATCCACCAAAAGGGAATACCAAGGAACCACAAAATTTCAGATGCAAATACTATCCTTCCTCAGTGAAACTATCAGTTGTCCCATAAATCTACTAGATTAAGAATAGATCTACGTCTGGCATATCAAATCAAAACTCTTCTTCACAACCCTTGCCGCTCGCTTTACCTGGATTCATGGGTTCCATCAGCCCATCTTAACAAAGGCCAACCTTCACTGGGCCTTCGGCAGCTGCTCCAGGGTCAATTCGAATTACTAACCATGCAATCGGTATGTCCAGCACGACATATCCGTAGAGGTGTTTCATCTAGTCGGAACACATCAAGTTTTCTGCACAACAATCCATACGAGTCCACTAGAATGTGGGAAACTCCTTGGGGCATCTGAAGAAGGGTGTTTGTTCCGTGGCTCCGAAAGTCATTTCTGAGCCAGGACTGAGAGACCAATGATGGCAATGTTAGCCCTTCAATGGACTCTCACGAGACAAGCATACTAAAAACCTCAAATAAGTAAGCCACTACAATTTCTTCCCGGGAGAAAGAAAAGGCTTCAATATCTTCATCTTAAATTTTGACATATATTAGCTGCTTTCAGAAGCTTTTTCTCCTGAAACACGCCCGAGTTAACAGCATCAACCCTATGAAATATAAAAACACTGTGCAAGACACACCCAGTCCTTTGGAAGGCTACACAACTTCAAACCGTACCTGTATAGGTAAGAAAAGCTTGAACTCCGGGGGTAACTCTTCCTCTGAGTACAGTCGATCCGAAAAGTAGATTCTTCGAATGCGACAGTTTGCATGCACTTGAACACGCAAGGTCTCCACATAGTTCGTGCCGTAAGCTCGTCTGGTGAAATCCGACAGATTGAATTGTATCTGGTTCCAGCCCTCATCCAATCTCATAGGCATTGTACAAATGAACGGTCTGACGCGGGTAGATGACTGCAAACGCACCAAGAATCCGACACCGTAGTCATTTCACATTGTGAAACAAAATTGATATTGAACTTTACTTTTACATAAACCAAAGATGCAATCACCTGATAATTAGAAGCACGAAACCTTCGTCGAACATTCTTGTCGTCAAGCACCTGAACCTCAAACGTAAAGTATTTCTTGAGATTCTTTATAATCATCACCAAAAACGGAAGCTTGATTCCCAGGGTAGCACTAGGATCAGCAGGACACGTAATGAAGTTCGTGCTGACATTGGTCCCCATGATTTCCAACACACTCGACTGGATGTCTTCATCAGTAATCCTCTTTATATGTCCATTCACCACTGCAACCAGTCAAAGTGACAAAGTGAAGCGGATAAGAAGGAGCCTATTTATGATATAATCGTGAGAGTTTAGAAATCTTAGACGCCAGTGGTTAGATTTACCAGTGGCCCACATATGAGACGTGAAAGATGACTTGCTGCACTCAGAAGTAACTAAACAGCAACAACCAAAATAACAAAAAACGCATTTTTAAAGATCTAAGTATTACTAAAACTTCTTGATATGAAGTAGGGTCCTTGAAGCAGCTACAAACAAACATCCTTCTCACATGAACCCTTCTCCACAGATATTCCAACAACACCCCTACTGAGAATGGGAACTTCCTGCAGCTTAAGGTTATTCTTCAGCAAAAACATCTTCTCAGGCACTGATGCATACCTTCTTTATCCCATATTTGCAGTGGCTTACTCCTGCCAAACAGTACCAACCCCACAAACAACATATTCAGACTATGGACAACTTCACAAATCACCAGAGAGGCCCAAAATCCGGGCTGGCAGACAGCGGAGCTAAGTTTCAGAACCCTTCAAGAGTAAAAGACTGGAAGATGAAGACTGAACACATTTGTGTATGATCAAAACAGTTGTTCCAAGTCAAAGAGCTGTTCGTTTTCTTCTCAAAGGCAGCATATAAGAACTGAAACTAGAAGACTGGAAATAAATCAAAGTCTGCATCTCCTCGAAATTGTACTCACCCGATACTGTAAAGAATGGACAAAAAGCCCGACTGAAAAGTATTCTTGAACATTTCTCAAAAGGGCAAGCGATGCTCAGCCTTCCGAGAAAGAAGTTGGTTGTACTCAGGCCGAGCAGTCTGAACACAAAGATACACAAAAAGTGCTTGTTATTTTTTGAGTATACTTCCATCAAAGCCTTCAACTGAAGCGAAGGCAGCTAAATTGTACTTTCTCACAAAATTTAATGGATCACAATTCTCGTGGCTGGAGAAATTTTCACTGCCAACCCTACGAAAGCTGCAAGCAATTGGACAATTAACTTTTCTGCATATTAGAAAAACAAAAGAATAACTGCTTGGGTATGAAAATGCTAGGGCCGAGAAACCAAAAATCAAACCAGCTAAATAACAGTTCATTTGTTTCGGAACATATTACTCATCTCGCTTCAACTACAACCTGAATTTGTGTTCATATCAAGTCTCACTTGCGGAGTAGATCGGGCCAGAGTCTAATCTATTTCTGGTTGAAAAGAAATCCGGTGGAGAAAACAACTAAAACAGGCTCAAAGGATACCCTTTGAGTTACGGAATTTCAAATACTGAAAATGGAATCGTCAGATTCCTCTTGAAACTAAAGAGAATCCAGATTGCTTAAAGAGTAGATAACACTCTACCAAAACGGAATGAATGACAAAACGGATATGATGGATTCGCTTAAAACATAATAAACCAAAAGGGCTGATGTTTGTTAAACGTGGATGTTTGTGTGTGTGGATGTTTCCATTCTCACGTGAATAAGGTTCTGCTGTGTCTACAAGCACAGATTCCACACAAAATAAACCCCAAATGCGGAGTAGAAGATGTGAATTTGAGGCCAAAAAGATTCAATTACGGAACGGAGGACACACGCGTTACTGTCAGAACGTACCAGGTCTTTGAAGAGAAGGAACACGATTACGAAAAAAAGAACGAAAAGGATCTCGAATTCTGCCAGTCGAACGAACCAAAATACGGATTCCACCGCCCGTGTCAGCAACGACGGGGTAGGACCCTGCTGCGACTTTCGCATTGAGACTACTGTTGCGACCTCTCTAGCGGCCCTCGGCCCAAAATTCTCTCGCCACCCTAAACACCGCGCGGGGATCGAAACCCTGCTCCTCCAGGCGTCCAGGTCCTCAAACACAATCTCCACGGCGAAAGTGCAACGCAACGACGCTCCGAATTGCGCACTGGCAACCAATTCCGCCGAAGTGGCGAGCAGGCAGGCGGAAATTCAATCGTCCCGTCGCCGAACGCACGACGACATTCGCGCGAACAGCCCCTAACGAGAAAACCGACTGCCGCGGGCCCGCGAAGACGAAGAAGGGCTCGAGCCCGGAGCCGCGCCAGATCTCTCGGGGTCCGGTTGGGCTCCTGGCCGGCGGCCGGACGGCGAGCCCCGCGCGTCCGGCCTCGGGTCTCCGGCCGTCCGGAGGGTCTTGGAGATGGCAACAGTTATGAGAAAGATGGGAGGTTTCGCCGGCGACGTGGCAGCGCCGGATTCGCCCCCCGACACATCTGTCGCGGGCCGGGCTGCAAGTTCCGCACGGGTCAACTCGTGCTGACCCTCGGCTCCCTTCGTATCTCCCTTCTCCCCGTCGCGGGTTGAATCCTTCCCCCGTCATTTGGCAGCGCGTCGTGTTTCGTCTGTCGTGCAGTTAGCGGGTACCTTTTCTGACATCTTCTCGTAGTAGAGAGAATTGGCGCATGATTTAGCGAGAGCGAGGACGTGGATTGGATGAATCTAGGAATGTGAGATTGGTTCTTTGCCCTCCAGATTTATGGGATCATCAAATTCACTTCTTCTAGCGATATGAAATTACAGGATATGGATGTGCAACCATAGCATAAAGGGCTACCCAGTTCTTAGAAGATTACCACTCTCATCCTCATCTACCGACCTTTTGATTCTTCGTCCGTGACGAGGTGTGTATTGACATGATGTATAATTTTCTATCCACTAGAAAAATTAAGATATTTGGAAATGTTTTTGAAACTCCAATTTTCATAAATTTCATTTACATAAATTTTCGTATGTTAATAAAATATTTTATTATTTTCAGGGAATTTAATTTAATTTTCTCTAATAATGAGCGTAAACGAGAAAGATATTCACCAATTTGAGATCAGAGAATATCCTATTAGTTAGATTAGATGTATTGAGGCATAATTTTTGCAAAACACAACTAATTTGATAGTCATGAATGATTTTATTTTCTTCATATATCTGACATTAAAACAAGGGACTAAAATTTAATCGCATTGTAGATGCATTAGGATAATGTGGGATATCTGAAGTATAAAATAATTAACAATAATTCTATTGACCCAAAAATCATACCAAGACATCTTTACACAAACATGAGTGAAATTTGCATGTTTAAATTTATACTCAAATGACTTTGGGAGAATATAGTATGAAAAATATGTCATGAAAATTTTTTAAAATGATTAAAATTTATTTTCCAGAATCTATTAGTGTGAAATACGTTTTCAAAACTAGGTATTTTGGGGAATTAGTTATACTAATCACACAATTATTCTTGAATAAATAGACTTTTTGATGGCACTCATCCTGTCAGGCATCGATCAGTGATAGAATATATCCCTCCTTGTTCAGACATGGATCTATGGTAGCGTGGAGAAAGTAAACAAATCTGGTGAGCAATCGACCGGTTTGAAGATCTCTGAAAGTGGACCGAGTCCCTCTTCTCCTCATGTCTCATGAAAGTCGGAGTCTGTTTCTGAAGATACCATCTGCTGGCTGGCTGGTTGGCCACTGGGATCGATGTCAACTTGGTCACTGTAAGGTTCAGAAAGGAAGCAGATTGAACACCTAGCACAACCTTGGATGTTCGGTCGTCTGCAGTCCTCATAGCGTGTCGTTGCCACATCACTTACAGTGCACCAAAATTTTGCAATGACTCTCCAATCAAGCCAGCATGCTTCTTCGTCGTTACGATTAGCACTCCGCCTCAGTAATCTGGTTCCACCTTTCGGTTCACACTAGAAACATTCTGGACCAGGGTAGACTAAAACAGATCCTCGATCTCCTGGTCTCCCTCATGTAGTCTTGGGTTTATTGCTGAATCTTTCCGCCGAGCTTGAGGCCACGAACACAGACATAGTATGTCAAGCAGCAGCATGTATAATGTGTAACATAGTGAGTATCACATCCCGACCGTCACCCATGCTTGTGAATAATTACGCCGGAGTTTCGAGGGTTCTTCAGATATCGCAGATTCCACCGCTGATATCCACTGAGTCGTAATTTCGATCCTGATTCATTTTGAGGGTAGGGGCCGCGCGAACGCGAGCCCCATCGATCACAAATTATGACGTGCATGTTCCCCTTGAGGAAATGCTAAGGCCGCTCCCGTCGGTGGTGCAATGAGAGGAGCAGCTCTAGACCATCGGCCTTCATGTTCACCGATTGATCCCGCCCAGGTAAGTATGCTCCCACTTCATTGTCCAAGTTTCAAGTATTGGTAAAGTGCCTGAGAATCATGTCCCTTCTTATGGTTCTATGTTGCGCAGTCGTTCACTGCTACCACACCAGCACTGTTCCTTGAAAGCTGTAGATGTACTTCCCCATATGCTCATAAGGTTCAACGATGTTGTTGCCTCTTCTGCATTCTCGCCGCACTCTTATTTGATCATCCACCATATCTCAACCTTCATGCCAAACATTGATGTTCAACACATAATTGTATCAGTAAGAAATCTAATTATTTTGTATAAACATGACGTGAAGTGAATGATTAATCAAATTCAAATCAGGCCATGTTTCTAATTTGAATAATTTCATTCAAGTCTAGACGGATATATTTTTTGTGGCCTTAAGAGAAGTAAGAAACTATCGAGAAGAGTAAGAAACTCAGTCCACATATAGAGTGATGACTTTTATTTTATTTTTAAGGAAAATGTCACGATGGGATACTTTGAAACATAATATATTATTAAAATACTCGTTTTATAAACACAACTCACAGCCTAAATTTTTCCGTCATATATCTAATACATATGCTTTCAAATGACTCATTTCAGGTCTCTGACCTGAATTTTAGTTAAGATTTCAATCAAAATGTTGATTTTCTAAATTCACGTATAATGTCTCAATTTTATTTTTCTAATGCTAATACGTCTATGATTAAATTTCTGAATGTTGTAGATATCAGATTTGATTTTTCTTCATATAATAGATGAATTTTGATAAGTAACGCATTTGACTAAGAAATTTTTCACAATTTTTTTCAGAATACATAATTTGATTAAAGAACTAGTTAAGATATAAATCAATATTTATTTCAAAGAGTTCATTACAAATATTGATAATAAAATTTTTAAATTAATATATGAAGTAAAATTTTGGCTTAAAAATATTGGAATTGGATAGATGTGATTGAATAAAATGTACCTCCTCGTTAAAAAAAGTAGTTTTTGGAAAAGGTAGTGTTTATGATAACATATATCATACTATAGTTTAACTTTAGTCATGATATGAACTATAAGTTTATATGTATTTAGAATAACTATAGGGTAAAAAGATTTATCATTGAAGGAAGAAAGTAATAAATAAATAAATAACTAAATAAATATGAAATAATATTCATCTTATTACAAAATATGAATGAATTTAAAAATGATTATTTATTTTTATTTATTTTTCATAATCTTTACAGTTTTATGAAAACAATATATTTAGATTCTTTTGATTTGATATATTGTATTTACGTACTTTGATACTTTGAATCAAAAAGAAGATTTTCCTCTAATCTTTTAAACTCTGATTAAAACAAATAACATCAGCAGTGATTCTTTTAACTCATTTAATTTACGAAGATAGAATTACCAAAATTGGGGAATATATTATTTTCCATTTATTTTAAAAAGTTTCAGATAATTAATATTTTAACCCTTTACCTATAGTAAAAAAATAAAATTTTATTTTCTCATTTTTATTTATAATAAATAATTTTAATTTCAAATAATACATATAATTATCTTGTTAAGATGCACAATATATATGATAAGATTTTTGTTCATATAAAAATATTTAACATTATCAAAAGAATCTTTAAAAAGAATTTGACCTAAATTTTTCCTCTTTGATAAAAATAAAACAGTAAAATACAAATTTAATCTGCAATAAGAATATTATTAAATTATTATATTCAAGTTCAGAATTTAAATTTTTTGAGTTCATACATTTAAGTAACAAATCACCTAAATTTTGTTTAAATTTTGTTTAAAATTTTTATCAGTTCAAATCTGTGACGAGTTTATCATATCAAAAGTAGATTGGGTTGCTATTTGAAGATGTATGAATATAATGAGAGCATAGTAGATGTACTGTAATTTTGAACATTTTTTTACTCTATATTCTATTGAAAATATGAAATGAATGAAGTTGAAATTGTAATGATATTTATTTTTCAGATATTTTTTTTTAAAATTTTTTTTTTAAAATAAAAAACACTTTTTTAAAAATCATGTTAATATTGATGACAGGGAATTTATCAAAATTACATTTTACATTATATCAAAAGGGAAGACCGTATATGACTTGAAGTTTACAAGTACAATGAATAACGAAGTAGCAACCATCGTGAAAATAATAACCTCAAATCTCTATTACTATAAAAGAAAATGTTATTCATGAACTAAGAGAGATGCATCTTCACCAAGAATCCACACACAACGGGTTGATGTTCACCTCTGCTAATGTTATGGCCAAGGAAACATGTTATCTTATATAGTATGCTAGTTATCTTATATAATAACATGCTATATTCAAACACACTAAATAAAATTACAATCTCTGAGATACCTTATAATATATATGATAACCTGCTAATCATAGTCATAGTAACTTGAGTTAAAAGAAATGAGTTTAATCATAACATCTGAGGTAACATGTCAATCATAATCAAACGAAATTCAATTTAAAAGACTTGAGGTAACTTTTAACGTATACATTAACACGTTAATCCTAGTGAAACTAAGTAGATTTACACTAACTCGAGTTAAAAAGACCTGAGTTGACTTTTATCATATAAAAATCAGTTTTCTCCTAGTCAAACTAACTAGAGTTAAAAAGACATGAGTTAACTTTTATCTTATAAATTAACATATTTATCCTAGTCCAGCTAACTAGACTTAAACTAACTCGAGCTATTAAAACCTGAGTTAACTTCTAACATATAAAATACATTTCAATCCTAACCAAATCAATTAGACTTGAACTAACTTGAGTTAGCAAGATCTGAATTAACTTCCAATAT